TCTGTAGTGTAGAAACTTGACTGATTACTAAATAGTGACTAATTTCATGTTCGTCTTGTAACTAGCTCTGATTGTATTCTATCAATCAAATTACGATGTGCGCACCAGACTAAGGGGCTGAGTATTGTAAACAATACGTTTCGAAGCAAACTAGTCTCGAACACCTCGCTGGCACTCTCTTAGAGTGTAGAGCTGAGATATACAGGTTTGAACCTCATAGAAAGAACAATTTTCTTAAAGACTGAAGTTACGTCTTGCTGATGCGAGTTGACTGGCACGAAACCTAAGTTCAGGATTCCATAATGACCACCTCAAACCACCTTACATCAAGTAAAATCCATCTAAGAATTCGTCCATTATCCATCTGAGCTGTCTAGGTGAGTTCAGACTAACTGGTTGGGATCCGAGTGAAAATCGTGATAATCAGTTGAACAGATCTTACGAGACACGACTCAAAATTGGTCATGTTAGCACACAAACATTTTCCTCTAGATTACGGGTTTCAATATTCTTCATGTTTTATGCTTTTACAATTATAGTCTCTGTTTCTAATCTTCCATACTTGAATAATTTGCTTCACGGCATTGAGGTACTTGAAGCTATTGAAAGCTTCATTTACTTTAGGAGTATTACCAACCCTGAATGTTTGGTGTCTGACGGAATCTTGCCAAGGATTCTGAGTGCTTGGTAGGGTTTAGAAAACTGATGTCATTTGTGGCGTAAATGAGGTGTCTCTGTCAATCAAAAGCATGTATATTGTACAGCAGTCCATTATGTAGTATTTTATGGCTGCAAACAATGCTTACATCCTGTGCAACAACCGAGTTAACATCGTTTACGTTAAACTATTAAGACCTAAGCAAAGATGGGAAACCGGTAAATGAGGTAATGAATCTTTGTCGACTGGAGTGTCTGGAAGATGTTAGATATCCCTAACCACTACATACCATAACGGGTCGAAAGAAAGCTGCAGGCGCCCAAGTTAGAACATCAATCCATGAGGTCATTGATTGTCCATCTGGTAGATCCAGACTACGTGGTTCGGGTTCACGCAAGAAACGTGATCGGTGGTTAGAGACTGTATAAAATTGCTCAGAATCTCTCACAATGGTGCAGATGCATCCACCCTTCATATTACCCTCAATCTTAAATCCCAGCACTTCTCCATATATACCTTTCGATTGTCTTTTTGAACTATATTCGTTGTATTCAACCTTTCTCACTATCAGTCTTGGTATATTCCTCCGACCTCTTTTGCTAGTCATCTTGTTATTGAGCATCTACGCCATGCTCTACGTTGGGAATAATTGGCTGACCGTATTATGTCCTACAATAGCTAAGATCAATCCTCATCAATGCTCTAATTGAACTGTTCAGCTGAGAAAACGGTATTAGTGATAACTACTGGTTAAGCACCGATTACATACTACTTTTGCAAAAGTTCTTAGATCAATCATATTGTTTATTGATAAATATGCAATTCAAACTACATGTTATCATCTAGGAGATACGAATTATGTGTTGCCTACACAGTACAAAAATAACAAATAATGATAAGAAAAATTATTTAATTTTATAAATGACCTTTTTGTTTACACTGGACGATTATTGTTATTATTTTAAAAAGATAATATTCAAAAGACAGTCATCACTATGATAAGAACAAGAGTAATAATCATGATAACAATAATCATATGTAACTTTTTATTGCTCTTAAACGATAAAATAATGAATAGCCTACAATGAATACACAAACAGAACAAAATTATTCACATAGCAAATCTCCGGAGAATAAACAAAGAAACATTTGAGAGAAAACAAATAAATAAATAAACAGGGTTATATGTTTCAGTAAATTTGAAAATAATACAAGAAAATTGGTGACAATACAAACGATAACAATAACAACAGTTAAGTAATCAGCTAACCACCAATCACTGTCATGAATACAAGGAACTGATGACAATTATATAATTGTATTAGTGATGGATAGGGAACCAGAAAAGAATGTTCTACATCTAAATCTAGATTAGAAATTGTTATCCGAAAGAATATAATACAATATTCACATAAAAGAAAAGAAAACACAACATGATGAGAGAGACAAAACCCAGTTAGTGAATAAATGAGGAGAATGCACGCAAAAAAAGGACGAAAATCAGTGTAAAGATGAATATTTCTTAGTGAAATCGCACAGCCATTGACAAGGGAAACAAATTAATTAAATTACAAGAGAAACTTTAACACGTGAACAACTACAGTAGTTATGTAATAGAATATTTATCATTGTTCTTCATTTACTTACATACAGTGATGATAATTATGATCATAATGGAGAAAATAACAATGAACAACACATAATGATATGCAATGAAAAGAATAAAAGATGTATAATAATAGGGTAAAGTATTTTCATTTGTTCATTTAGACAATATGTTATGCCATTAAATATCAACAAAACAGTGAAACAATTATTCACTAATTGGTTTTTTTGTTGTTTTTTTCTTAATAAACAAGCAAACAAACAGAAAATAAAACACAATATAATAAGTGATTTGTTTTAATTTGAACGATAAGCATCACAAAACAATAACACCAAATCATCATCAATGTCAGTCGTTCAGTTACAAAACTTTAATTTTATCAAAAGGCACTGGATTATTCTTTTCCGACAAAACTGACGAATAAATAGAATTAATGATACGTGTTAAGGGTAGTGGAATTCATGGATAATTTCGAATAAATAAAATAATTAGTTGTCTTTCTTTTAAAAAAAAAAAAGAAGGAGAAGACGAAGACAAGGAATACTAATCGACGTTTATCACAAATTTTATGGAATGTAAATCTAAAGAGAACTTCATTTGAAAAAGAAGAAAGAACAACACATATACGCGCACAAACAAGTAAACAAAATAATGATTATGATGATACATTCTTAAGCTTTTCTATAATAAGATTTTAATAGTGGAGAACAATGAAAAATAATAGGAAAATTGTGAAAGATAAGTATATGAGAGAAATGGATAGAATAAATAAAATTATTGAATCAGACATATATATATCCCACCACCCATATAGATATTTCTTTCTTAGGCACTCCAGTATACTTCAAATGAATTATCTGGTAATCAATCAAAACGTAAAGATACATATGTAAATTTATACTGTTTATGAAGAGTTTTCCGTATTCGTAGAACTATTGCTACTACTACCACCACCACCACTGGTCATAGGTATGAAGAAGGTTCCACAACGTAACAGAAAAACACGCATTAAAGCAGCAACTTGTGGTGAAATACCACCAGCCATTGCAACTAAATCACACAGACCAGGATATAGACAAGTAGCATGTTTATGAAATCTTGATGAAGGTGATAATTGAATTAATTGTGTAATAATTAATACTAAACAAGGATCCCATGCATGTCGATGTCCATCAATAACTAAACCATGATAATAATGAAAAGCATCCAATATTACATGGTCCAATAATTCATCAGCCTATTCATAAAAAAGAGGTGTAAAAGGAAGAAAGAAATCAAACGGCTTATTCATTATTTTAGTGTAAAGCAAATATAAAGTATTACTAAGGAGTCTCATATTAGAATGAAATGACTGTCTAGTGTTTTAAGGTTTTCGATGGTTATTTAACTTAGATCAATTAAGTGATTCCAATGAGATTTAACAATATTCATAACTCTAAACTGACAAAAAATATTTACTTTGTATAAATATAGAGTAAATTATTAGTTATACATAAGAAATTAGTTTGATTTTCATGTTGTGACACAAGAGTTGATGAAAGAGTAAATGTATCAATGATATTGGTAGAAAAGAATAGGTGTAGACAGAATAAATCGAGATGAAAGGATGACTCAATGGAATAAAAATACCAAATAATTTCAGAACTCAAGATCGATTTATTCGTTAAAATAACTATGTGAACCCCAACTATCTACAATGGGATCTTCACATGTACTTTTTGATAAAATCGTTTGAATAAAGAAAGAAACTGTAACTATACACTGAAGGTAGAGGATGAAACTAATAATTCAGCTGAAGAACCGATAACGTAATTAAAATGTTTCGTACTTCGCTTATCAAGTATGGGTTCATATACTTAGCTTTGGGTCACATTTTGTAAATGTGAGGAAAAGTGACAACACTCAGTTGCGTAAGTCGAAGTAGGTGACAGACAGATTGAGAGGTTAGAACCCGAGACTAACTGATTGAAAACTTAACAACTCTGAACATTCAATCACTAAAATTGATGTCAATTTGTTATGACAGAAGAATATCTCTGAGAGTACACCATATATATACTACATTTCAGAATATCATCAATGAAAATTGGAAATATCTATTAAAAAAACTCAAACAAGAAATTAATTCAAAAACAGGGAATAGTTGAGTTGACAATTGTTTTCTATAACTTTATCATTAGGCTCTACAGTTATAGAGCCAATAATTATTGTGATATATGTTAAAAATAGTGAACTTTTTCATCTGTTACGACAAATACTTCATGATTGTGTTAGTTGTAAGTTAGAAAGGTCAGGTGAAATTCCCATACTATGCATTTTATTCAAACGATTTATTGTAACTTGACACTACTTCGAACCATTCTGACCTTTATCATTATATGACCTTTCTAACATACAAATAACACAACCCTGAAGTATTTATGTCGTAACAGATGAAAAAGTTCACTATTTTTAACATATAACGTTGTCAAATTCATTATTGCATGGCTTGTTTTAGTCTTCTTAAAATATCACAATTATTATGGACTTATAACTGTAGAGTCGGAATTCACTTGATATTGTTTACCTGAATCTTCCCACTGATGTTTGGGACTGCAATTGACCAGTCTCTTATTGGCATAGGTGCATAACATGCGAATTGCCTTAATTCACAAGCACTATAACCGAAGAAGGATGGTGGCTAGCAGTGGAATCCAGGATGCGCGTCTCGTTTTATTCGGGACTCGTCAGCTGGATGTACTTGCATCTCAGAGTTGATGTCCACTCTGGGACTCGAACCTAGTACTGTTCGCTTCAAACGCCATCGCGTTATCCACTTAGATACTGAGTCCTAATAGCTGCAGGCACATCCAGCTGACGAGTCCTGAACAGGACCAGACGCGCGTCCTGGATTACACTGCTGACTACTGTTCATCTTTGCATGTAGAGCATGATGATGAAGTCATAGAAAGCTATTGTTCGCATAACTATTCCCTATTTTGAATTATTCTACGGGAAATTTTATAATAAATAAATTCATTTATTACTCACTTTTTCACGTATATCACTTGCTTCTTCAGCTAAACGAAATAGTATACGCAAAGCACATAATAAACTATGTGTTTCTTGTTTTAATAAATTCGGTTTAGCTTTAACTTTGAAGCCTAGGACAAACAATTAATTGGAATTAGGAAAATTATGGAATTATAGATATCTACTCTCATAAAACAATAATAATAATAATAATAATAATAATAATAATAATAATAATAATAATAATAATAATAAAAGCATTCAGAAATGAATCTAAACAAATATGCTCATAAAGTAGTTACAATTTAATTTATGCTGCAACATTCAAAAATCAAAAAAGTTAGTGGAAGTACAGATGAAACTCTCACAAAAGAGAGAAATTTCTAATTTGTACATCAACATTTTGCTACAAATGATTTATATTGCATTTGTTTCATCACTGTGATTATGTAACGTCACAATAATCCAAATGATTATTAAATAAAAGAACCAATTTTCTCCAGACAACAAACAAGGAAAAAATACGTAATTAAGTAACGAGAACAATTGACTATGAGTAAAAGATAAAATTGTATTGTCTTTTTCTAAGGGTAGTGAACTCCCACCTTTGACTGATTGCTAGCAGACTGGTTGTGAAAAGGATAAGATGGTACGACACAAGTAAACATGTGGTATAGTGAAAAATTCCCATTTTCACATTTAGTAAAGAAAACGATGAGAGCGAAGAAATTCATTTTCAATTGGTTTTTCATATCAGTCAGTCAGCTACAACATAAGACTAGGCACATATGTGCATCCGTCAAGTTGCCATACCTCATTAACACAAGATGGACACCGGATTCATAGAAGTAGTCACTTCAATCGTAATAATATATAAAATATTGTGTATAAGGATATGAAACAGGAAGAAAGAATTAGTTCGTAGAACGAAAGGTATAAAGCAATTTTAATCTCACAGTTTAAGGGAAGACAAACAGTGTATACACCGACGTCATATGATCGATTCTGGGCCATGTCACCCAGAGTCTCCAACCATTGGTTACAATAGTTGCGCGGACCCCAGCCAGGTAGTGTGCATCTACCAACATGGCTAAGACCAGAAGTCAGTGACTTCAAGGACTGAGACTTATACCACGTTTTGGTTTGGCCAACTGATTTACTATCATTCCCTAATACCCTGCGTTTTTCATATATATATGATATAAAACAATCAAAGATTGAGTAGTTCTATTGTTCACCTTGTGAACTTTATTAGTTTTATTTTGATCAATAATTAATTGATCAATCAGTAACCCGGTTACGGTATGTCGAATGAATATTTAGCATATCAATAACAATTTTAATTTTACAAGAGATATTGTCAATAAATTGGTTAATGAATCTGTCTTTTAAAATTAGTTCAATGAGCTAATGATACTTTATTACAATTTGATGTAATCTTTATTGTTTAACTACTGTGCAATTAGACTTTTCTATGTGTCAGGACTAAGGATTATATGTTTATTCCCAAGCCCTCCATATGTTTTTTATAAGGCTACTGAAACAGCCATGAAATGTTTAGGAGAGTGTAGGACAATAACAAATATCGCAAACCAAGCCGGTCAAAAAATGTGATGCCTACTTAAACATCAAAGTATTGTAATCCGGGATAGCATAGAGAAAAAGGCGTAAATTTAGTCTTATTAAAACATTTCCATCGACGGATCTGTTGTCCTTGTGAAAGTTTGCTTATTTTTTAAAAAAAAAGTGGATCCCATGCAACGATTAAACACAATAATTCCAAAATTTAAAATGAATGGTTCAAAATTTGTTAAACCTAATGCATAATAGAAGCATAGTAGTTATTGGATGAATTACACTGTTTAATTTCTTTTTAATTAACCAGCATGTTTGGTTAATAGCATCCTGATAATTTATAACTTACAAGCGACATAAACTGAAGCAAAATAACAGGCTTCAGCAGTAACATTACTGAACAGTGTGTGTATCCTAATCATGACTGTAGTTACTGAAATGAAACCAAATAGCAGATTGAGTACTTAGGGTGAAGAAAATATATTGTGTAGGAGTCAACTTCATTATTTGATTCCAAAAGCTTCACAACGTAGGACATATAATGTTGTATGCTGCAAGCATTGGTTTTACTTAAATGTTTCCTTGTTCAATAAAAATGGTATTTCACTATTTAAATTGGATACATCCATGAGTGAGTATACAACGTTTAAAATTTGTTAGAAATACGTTATTATCAGTGACAGCTTATCATAAAAAAACAAAAAAAACTAACCCGCTTGAAATAGAATATTTCGTTGTTCATCATCTGAATTAAACTTTTTAGCGAATGCATGTGAATCTAGCAGACACTTTGCCAAGTAAAACGTTGTTGCGGTGACAAATGAGGATACATACCTCGGGAATCAAACGGTAACGGACTAGCTCCGACTAACTGAGTCGTATTATTTAGATTAGTTTCAAAAAAGCATTGAGTACTAGCCTTTTCATTTTCAAGTACATTAAGGTTTTCAGAAGAATCTAAAATGTCTACAATGGAAAAAATAGTGGCAAAGTTGTATTGAGTTCGACAGAAGAATGAATCACAAATAAACTAGACGTCAGAAAGAACAATTCAAAAATTTAGACCGATCAAGTCAGAGACAATATTTGCAATCAATTTACTACTTCACTAAGCCACATGTTTGAGAAGAAAACAATTTTATTTAGAATAAATAAATGAATACATAGCCCGGGTCTTATTCAAGCGCTCCAGAGGCAATATGTGACTATCAAAATAATCATTTCTGTATAATCTCACAGAAGCACGATATACTCTTTGAAATGAGAAAAATATGGTTGATTATCAAATTTACTTCGCTACTGAGCTATATACTAAGCAATATAATAAGACTTACTACAATAATTTTTTATAACTTGCTTACTTAGTTAATAATAACGAAATGAATCTAACCATGGAATAGTTTATAAAGTAAATTGTTCAATGCACTACATAAATAATGAAAATGTCTAGTACAAAGGAAGCTATGCATAACTACATGATAAATTTAGGAGTCACAGGATCTGGACTGTTTTCGGCATCAGTCTAGATGTTACATTCAGTGAACTTAAAACAAAATGAATATGGTGCATTCATAGAAGTGAATTCATTTTACAAAGAATAATAATGGATGGGTGGATTAATTCACTTTTGTTATCATAATAAGCCTAATTAACAAATTGACTATAATTCTACTTTATTTTGCCCAGCTATTGTACTTCAAATATTTTCTACTGTAGTGAATATTGTTAACTAGGGTTCTTCTAATATGTGGTCATTATTTTAACGACGATTATAAAACTAACCCCTAAATAACAGTTTATCATGCTTAATTAGTCCGGAAAAAGGTTGAACGAAAATGACTTTCAGTTTTCAGACACTGATCTTAATCATATTTACTGTGATTACTAATATGATTTTAGTATTTTCACAATTGAAATCAGGAGTCGATCTAAAGTAGATCACGATTGAAACCTGGAAGCACTAGACGGCCGTTTCGTCCTAGTACGGAACTCCTTAGTAGTGCGCATTCACGCACCTGAACTTGGGATTTCTCACGAGAACGCTTAGCCTCTAGACCACTGAGTCGGTATCGTGATTTCAACTGTGAAAATACTACAATCTGCATAAATCTCCATACTGACAATAATCATGTGCTCACTAGTGACTAGTTTCAAGATGTAACCCCTGGAGATCTAGTGAGAAGCCGTGATCAGTGGAGTCCAATCCATGTAGGATGGAAACAGTTATTCACTTCAGGTAATGGATGAAGGGTTGCGCAAGATGACAGATTGATTGAAGTTAGACATTAACACCATCGGATCTCGGCTCAGTGGTCTAGAGGTTAAGCGTTCTCGTGAAAGACCGAAGGTCTTGGGATCCGGTCCCAAGTGCGTGGTCGTGGATGTGCACTGCTGAGGAGTCCCATACTAGAATGAATTTGCCGTCTAGTTCTTCTATTTTTCAATGGTGATCTAGTGAAGATCGACTATGTAAATACAGATTCTGTTTTCGGAAAACAAAATTGTGAAAGAAACCGGTACTTTATACGATGATTCAGTAAACTTATATGACTAAGAAAAGAGAAATTTTAAGCGAGAGGATAACAAATAAGAATACACTTACGTAGATCATCTTTATGATTAGTTATAGTTTTGTTTGTACTCGAGTAATCATGATTAATGATATCTACTGATATTCTACTTCCTGTATTATTATTACTATTGCTATCTTTAGTAAGAAAAGATGACGAATTGAATGATGTTGGTTGGTTTGATGATGTAGCCGCTTGTAAAGCAACTTCAAATGCTGGATAAGATGCAACAGCTAACCGACGTGCTTCATGTAAATAGTGAATATCTTCATTTTTACTATGAGCTGAATAAATAAAATATGATCAACTGTTTGTATTAATTCATATTGTACTACACATTTATTGAGTAGATCAGCGAATAAATGTGCTCTGGCAACATGGCCAGGTATAGATTGTTGATTCGTATTTCCAAATGATGTAGCCATAGTTTGATCGTTGATCTCAATTGGCATTTGTTCCTATTTACAATAATGAAAATAAATAAATAAACAAACACATGAAATTTATTTGGCACTTTAAACACTAGCTATTTTCCCAGACATACTAAGTTGGATGTAGTGGCACAGTTTGTGTCATAACTACACTGAAATATAACTTTTATGAAGTGTTTCTAAACAGTGTGTATGCAAATAGTATACCATTAATGATATTTGATACAGTAATAAAACTGCAGGTTTTTTAAATGGTTAAAGCATTCAGTTTGAAATAGCTAGATCGCGAGTTCGAACCTCGTTATACCTATTTAGGTTTGGGCAGTACTCGCATCCAATAAGATTGTGATTAAAAATTAAGTAAAAAAAACTAATGTACTTGATAGGTAAATTGGGAAAAACATTCTAGGTATTACAAAAAGCTATGCCACCAACTTAAAAAGTTTACTTCCACGATTTAGAAAAATGTTTATTTGATGGCAAAGTTATTTGATATTTTCCTGAATTATACCACACGTGAAATAAGGTAATTAACATGATTAAATGTAAATAACTGCCCGCTTGATGGATAATATTCCAACTTTGTATTTTACAGCATAATTAATTTGTGGTAGACAAAGGAAAGTTTCATCTTGACAGTATGTTAAGATGTTGTCAAGCACAGAAAAACATTTCGACTATAAATATTTTCTCAGAAGCAATATTCGCTAGTAGGTTGAATTTAGTATGAGAATCTCTAACTCAAACATAACTATACAAACGAGTGATGAATATTTGAAGAACGTAACTAAGCATTGAGAAATTGGAGCTCAAAAGACTGGTACCACGAGCTTTTTTCTAATCCAAGAACTTTTCAAATTCAAAATTGTTCGTTGGAGATCAAACCTATCCTCTTGGAGCTGAACACGTTCGAAAGAACAAGTGCTGAAAAAATTAGAAAGCAAATGAATTTCATCATGAAATAATTGTGACTAAAAATGCACTGATCTGTTGAATCTAACCCAAAAGCATTCTTGTCAATGTAGGTGAATGAACCACATTAAACCGTTATAAGGAACCTGGTGAAAATAAAAACAGTTGTCTAGTGCTTCCTATTCGTTAAATTATATAAAATTGACATCTAATTATGATAAGATGATGAAAAAATTACAATTTCCAATCTACTCATCCGATTTCAAAATTTATTTGAGAATCTTGAATAATATTAGATTAAATGTATTGTAGTGTGCTAGATATATTGACATAAGTAGTATATGATGTTAGTCGTGAACAGAATGTCTGCCAGCAGAGAGACAAGAGAATCGAACAGTAAAGAATGGAAATGGAATGCAATTCGCATGAAAATGCAAGAACAATGAAGTCTGAGTCACTTTGAGACAATCGATGGACATTTTGCAAATTAAGCATTTACTTTGTGATTGTTAGATTTTATTAACAAGTCCTGTAATTTTGTGTTAAACATATTCGATTGTCCCTCTACGCATGTTTTGTTCACTATAGTATTACTAAGAAGACTGATTTACACTTACTGGGCGCCATGTTAGCAATTGATGGGTACTGTAGATTTGAAGAGATCAACAATTAAATTTACTGTTGATTCCCAAATTTTATCATTGAATCGTTTACCATTAGATAAAATTAAGGTTTCCAAACAACTTGTTCCAGAACGAGCTAACTGTTCATATTCTTGTAAACAGCACCATCGAAGTTGTTGGTAAATATCATCTACAGTAAATAAAATACCGATTAACTATTAAATTAAATTAACCAACTGTTATTTAATGGAATTCAGCTTAAAAAGAATGGTACATTCATTTTGTATGTTATATTATCATTGAAGCTCATTATTCACAAGTGAAATGATCGGTGAAAGTACATCGAACGGAGTGTAAGTGATATCATTTTTAGGTTAGCATTTCTGGAGACCTAGTGAAGCAGATATGTATTGGGAAACAACTCAAACTGGTCAGATCAGAGTACGGCATCAATCCATGATGTTCATGACTAATGATCTGATCACTATCGATAATACGGTAAAAATCCAATAGTAATGATATAGATGAATCCATTTTACGTAGATTAATATAGCAAATATAGGGGCATTCAGTCGACTTGCAAAAAAAATTAGGCAGAAGAAGAATTAGGATTCTGCTTAATATATCGCATTTCGATTTTCGTTTTTATTCAAATTCACTGAAAGTAACACATTAGCACTGTATAGTAGTGAATCAAATTGATGTTTAATAATTTATCAGAAAGAAATTTCCCGTCTTTAATACTTCAATGACGGCAGATTAAACATTTTTTGTCTCCTATGTTACACTACTATGATACAATAATATGGCCGATGTCCAATATTATGCTACCACTAAACTAAATACTCGGTCGTTACGTTATACAAAGACTGGATTACATTGTACTGGATACATGGTTCACGACCAAATAGCTTATTCAACACAATTAAAAGCTGTCTATATTCGGTGATTTCAGAATAGAAATAAAAAAACAGGAAGGAAATCATATATTAGCAGTCAGTAAGCTGAGTGCCTGTGTTCCCACCCTTAGTTGGCAATCACTTCCAACACACAAACTGTCCTAAAATCTGAAAATCAGGGGAATGTAAAGGTACAAATAACTCAACAGTAGGATCATAAAATTGTAAACGTCAAATGCAGTCAATTAGAGAGTATAAATTCACTGTAATAAGGCACATAATTGACTCAATTCACATTGGTTTCCTGATTGTTGTATTTGCACATGAAGTCCATATACAAAGTGAGGACCTTAATATGTGCTTGGAAAGTCACACCCGATAACTACATTAAAAACATTGCAAACAAAAGAATTTATTTTCCTACAAACTATACTTAACTGATAAAACAATTATAATTCCTGTAAAATGATCACATTGAAATATTTTTTTCTCCACAAACCTTAGCTGAAGCTATGTGCATCAAATTAAAACAGTAAATGAGTTAAACTTCATCTTACTGCCCCGTATTGACGTAGATACCTTTTTAAAAAGAAATCTTTACCCTAACACAGTGAATGGCACTAATGATTAAATATCTTTTGTGTACGGTAGACTAAATTATTTGTTACGATGATATTAAGTGCCAATTATATATTGAGATGTCATCCGAAAAGATGTGTATAGTTCAAAGATGGTTTCATGATAAAACGAGATCTGTTGACGAACTACTAACAGAAATAAGTATAAGACATGTGGTTTGTTCTATTCTGAAACGTCTCAAATATGTACCCTCACGACCTTCTAGATGGGATTGAGGATAGGATTTAACAGGTCTAGTAAAGCGTGTACAACACCTTCAAACCATTTAATCACAACCTAGTGATCCGTATGTTTATCTTTAGCCAGTTTATTACAAAGTATGTTAGATATGATAACTCTTTTTAGTCCAAGTATCTGACTCCGGTTTGACCGTAGTGTAAGCAATACACACATACGCTCATATAAGAGTCAGGGTTAATAAGCGAATAATTAACAAGGTCAAAGTGAGACTTGAAAAGAATGAATAAACCGGTCTTTCCGGAAGCTAGAACAACGCATTTGCGCTTGACAAGGCACTAGACACTACAAAATTGCATATATTATAACAGTTGGTTTAAATGATATATGCACTGGAGTTATCTAGATCACAATTTATATATCGTGGAATCGAATAACTTCACTAGCCTTGTATCTTAAAATCCAGTGGTTAGCAGTAAATTGTTTTCATAATAATTCTATCTGCATATCAGTTAGTCAGCGGAGTAGGAGATTAGACTATATAAAATATTATTCACAAATATTGATTTAAATTATTACTGAAAGCGAATTACAGATATTCAGTGCTGTAAAGTGAAATAGTTACAAATTGCCGGTGGGGAAAAACTCGCAAGCCTGTTCTGAGAATGCTTTTTCTTGTATGATCAATAGTGTTAATAATAAAAAAATTTAACAACTGGAATATATATATGAGAAATCGCTGTATTTTCAAGAAAATATAATGAAAATTATTGACATACCCAAAAGAATATCATGTAACACATCATAAAATTGAGTGAATATATCCACAACAGAAAATAACGTATGATTACAAGTTGTATTCATCCATTCAGTACGTTCCATATTTGAAAGAGTCTGATGATGAATACCCCGATTATTGGTGATAGCTTGTTCATTCCATGCATTCGAGTACGGAGGTGTTTTTACCGAAGAAGTATGATCGACTGTTTCCAAATCAACATTTGTCATGGTATTGTTATATTCTGATGATACTGAAGAGATTCGGAAATGTTGAAAAACTCGAAAGATAACAGCAAATGTTTCACGCCACCATAATGGTTTAAATTTATTGCCGTGTGATTTTAATATGTCGAAAAACACAGTAAGGCCACGAGTGCGTACATCTAATTTACAACTAAGGAAAAATAAAACATAGTAATATATTTGTTTTTATAAGGAAAAGAGAGGAAATATACAAGCCAGTAAATATCATGCAATACAAATAACCGTAAAATTTCGATAATGACATACTGCATAATACAGTAGTATGTAAAACGTAAGGATTGAGAGTTTAACTCATTCATTGGTCAAAAGACATGATAACATCATTTACCAAAGCAGCCCCATGACTATTCCTAATAGCCAGAAAGCCGAACGGATGAAAAGATTAGAACAACATCAAACATAAGTAAATCAAGTGAGTATTCTTTTTCCGGGTAGAATAAACATACAAAATAACGTCAGGTTCCTCAAAGAAAGACAATACTGTGTTGAAATATCAGAATAGAAACTCCATTTGAAACGACAGCAAAAATGTTAGAGAAATAAAGAATCAAACGTTCAGTTAAAGAAACTAAGAAAAATTGTTTTAATTGATGAAAAATTCCCATTATATTAAAAACACAATTGTATGAACGAAGAATATTCTTTTCAATAATTTCTCATCAGGTTCTACAACTATCTCATATCCAAATTAATAATCCATAAAATTGGCCAGATTTAAGGCAAAATACATCATCATTTGGAAATGGTAATATGTGAATCAGGAATTGTTGTTTGTTATATAAATAAAATCGTTAATGTTGGGGCTGACTAATATGAAGTGTTAACTTGAACCATTTCGCTTATAAACTGATTCAAGTTAACACTTCATATTAGTCAGCCCCAATATTAACGATTTTATTTATATAACAAACAACAATTCCTGATTCACATATTACCATTTCCAAATGATGATGTATTTTGCCTTAAATCTGGCCAATTTTATGGATTATTAATCTGGATTTATAATTGTAGAACCTGATGAGAAATTATTGAAAAAAAAAATTGTTTTAACAAAAACTGATCACATACACCTAACATTAAAAATTGATCGGCTTTACAGTCTGTATCATGAACTGACCTTAGTTAGACAATTCTATACAAAACTGAGAAATATCCTAGTATAGAGCCCCTCGTCAGTGCGCATTTACGACCTCATTGGGAATCGAGCCAAGATACCTTTTGGTCTTTTGCCGAGTCCCTAACTTCTAAATGATTTGAGTTGGGATCCGACGGTTTATATTTTAACTTCAATTGATTAGCGATACTGCTTAACCACCACTCATTTCTAATGTTGGGTAACTATCTGCGGTGTCTATATATAACGATCGTTAATTTGTGCATGATTTCGAGCCTAATTCGTATTACAAATACATTACCTTTGAATAAGATCGCTGCTTTTTCTTTGGCGTGAGTCCTGGTTCATTCGTGACTACTAAAGGACGACATGTTCTGAGGTTTGCCAGTTCGTATACAAAACTCAGTTCTACCATTCATACTTCTTAGAATGTCGCTCTTTCGACATTTTAAAGTTCGACTAATCATAGCTTATCACAAGGACTCTGAAAATTAGCTTTCAAAGCTAGTGATTACCTAGTGATTATTAGGACAAATAGTTTGTAGAGATTGTTGAACAATTTGTTACAAAACAGAGTAAATTACAAACAAATAAATAAATCACATACCCATTTATTATACGAAATAATTCACATAGTACGGGCATCCAACCTCTCAACCAAATTTGATCATCTTCAGGTAATAAATATACATATTTCAAATCAGAATTGGGTAATTCCATCGAGTTATTATTATTCACAATGGGAAATTCAGGATTTTGTAGACCAATAAACACTGTTTCGTTTTCAGCTACTGTACATGCACAAATACGAATTAAACGGATACTTTCCATAGCTGTGTCAGGAAATCGAGGATTACATGCGAATTCAGCTAATGCTTTTACTAAAGGCTAAAAATTGTATACAAAACATACAGAAAAAAGATCAAATAAAAAAGTCAAAGTCCGGTTTATTATTTTTTTTAAAAAGACGATTGTTTGAAAAACCATAATCTGAACACATATTTAGTCAATGAGTTGAATGGATACATCATAAGTAACTAAATGATAAGTTATCTACAAAATTTAATATCATTCAACTAACTAACTGTACGTTTCTAATCACCCAATTCAACTAACACGTTGAATGACTGACAGTCAGTCAGTAACAACGTAGAACTTCGAACGTACGTACATCAGTTCGAGTTGCCATACCCCATTAGCAGAGATGCGGTTGTCGATTCAAATCCGTAGTGGTAGAGGTAGCAAGAGTATAAGCAGTAATCGGAAAGATTAGGGTTTGGAGATGTTATTTAAAGAGTATAATCCGGTGAAATAAATTTAGGAAGAGAGAAAAAGAGACAAGGAGGAATAAGGAGATTAGAATTTGGGAGAACACAAAGAGTGGATGCACCTGCGCCATTGCAAACGATTGTGAGCCATGTCATTCAGGGTCTCTAACCATCGGTTGCTATCATCTAGCGGTCCCCAACCAGATAGTCTACACCTACCAACATGACTCAGTCCACTTGTCAGTGACTTCGTCATACACCAGACCACAAGGGCTGATGAGACTTCCAAGATAAGTGAAGCGGTCGACACGTTCAACTACTTCACTCCCTTTAATTAGTTCGGGTGTCGATGCAACCCAATCCTGAAGCAATATTTTGCATTTCGAGGGGGAGGATCGCATCCCGAACATGCTAGCATTGTTGCTTAGAGTGGTCAGAAGACTCTGCATTTTGTCACCAAATAGAACTATGTCGTCAGCATATTCCAAGTCAACAAGTGAATCTCCTAGTAGAAGTTCAACCCCTGGAAATTTAGATGAGAAAAGTGTTATCTCTAAAAGTACGTCAATGATAAAGTTAAACAAGAATGGAGAGAGTGGACAGCCCTGACGAACACCACTTAGCTTATTTTGAAATTGTGTACAAAGGACAAAGTGATTACAAATACTTCACCATCTTCAAGCACAGAATGACAGACTACTTTTAAAATAAAATTCTATAGGAGAAAAAACACAAGACATAGTTAACTCGTGAGTATTAAAAGCTATCTGACAATAATGTGAATATTTTCTCAGCTTCAGTCAGTATATTTCGACAACTAGAGAGTTATTCCTCTATGTGAATTGATAATTATTAGTCAATTCATTGTTTGTACATTTGAATTTCAGTCACTTCTGATTTATTATCAGCACGGGGATTTGTGGAGATTATGGTATTTTCACTATTGATTCACGAGTCGATCTAAGCTAGTGGAGTCCAATCCATGTAGGACGGAAAGTTATTCACTTCAAGTAATGGATGAAGGGTTGCGCAAGATGACAGATTGATTGAAGTTAGACATTAACACCATCGGATCTCGGCTCAGTGGTCTAGATGTTAAGCGTTCTCGTTAAAGACACGAGGCCCTGAGCTTGAGTCCAGAGTGCGGGAACGCGGATGTGCACTGCTGAAGAGTCCCATACTAGGACGGAACGGTTGTCTAGTGCCTCAAGGCTTTCAATGGTAGTCTAGCTTAGATCGACTCGTAAATTCAACTGTGAAAATTCTGATCTTTTTTTCAAAAAACGTAGAAATGAAAGAAGATAACGAAACAAATTGTGAACAGATACGTTAACTACATTTGCGCATCAGTCAAATGAATAGATAATTCAATGGTTCCGATAAGTATACAACAAATTAAACAGTTGAACTATTTATTAGCGTTATAAATTCACGTGTAATTAATCTTTTCATGTATTTCAAAATATCATGATTATGAAATCTATAAACAACAAATATGAATATTAACTTCTAGTCTACTATAGTGATTTTTACATGCATTATTTAAAAAAAAAGAAAAATAATTCTATCTACCTGAAAAGCATCAACAACAATACGTAAATGTTCTTTGAAAACAGTTTTCACAGTAAAATGACAAGTTTCAAATGCCATATCAACTATTGCTTCATTTAAAGACGATGCTATTAAGTGTAGAACAGCAAAAATATTTGTCCATCCAGAACGTATATTCGAATATTGTGAATGGACTAATTGATAAACACAACGAACTATCATATCTTGAACTTTATGACTGACATTTGGTTCAGTTTCCAGTATATTTACAAAAGGACTAAAATATATACATTAAGTTTATATTAAAAATAGATAAATAAATAAACTGAACAAATGATAGATATAAATAACGATGAAACATTTGAGAAAATTTTCAAGAATTTCATTGATGATAAAATAGTCTGGTATATTACAGTTTGTTTTCATTGAATGAAGTAAGATATTTAATAATAATTGTACAGATAATACATATTTGTTAACTATCAATAATAACTAAGCATATTTATTGCTTGAGGCCTTGAAAAAAAATTGTTAGAAATCAGTTAAGCAATGTCCAAAAGAACCCTTTAACCCTATGATAACCAAAGTTAAGCTCATAATATTACAAGCGGATTTTAATTTTAAAAATCAAAACGGAACAGGAAGATGATTTATAACAAGAATTGACATCAATAGAAAAATCATAGGGAATTGAAAGGGCACTAAACTGCTGTTTCAATCTAGCCAATTGCTCCTACTAAAGAACAAGCAACTAAAACCCAATAAAGAAACGAATTCAAAGCTCTCCTGTCTCATGGTCACCGTATTATAGTTGTACTCGTGGTTTGGAAACCAATCGGTTATATTTTTTTATTTGAAATGATTTATAATAAATTACGACTTTAAATGATGTTTAATGAATTTTCACTGCGTTAAATACATCTTTAATCTATCATTGCCAAGGACGAACATGACAGAGATATGTCAGCTGACATAAAAGTTGTAGCAAAACAATTTCTAGATAAAGGATGAACTATACAAAAAAAACAAATACACAATATCCGGTTTATCAAAGAAATTGAAAAACAAAATGTAGCAATTTTAACATTTCAGGGTCGTGTGAAAGTGATTTACATCCTAGAAAAAAGAAGAATAACAGTTATTGACTTGTTTAAAATATCACATGTTTAAAACAAGTGAAACTTGATGTATTTAAGATTCGATCATGACTTAGTGTCATTGTTAGCGATTTCTTAGGAACAAAAACACCATTCAGATTAAACTACATACCTTTTATACATGATTTAAGGTCAGTAGTTTAAATGATAAGTTGATAGTCAGTTTTCTAATCCAATTTAGATTGTTTTAAAATGTTTATATACAAATAAAATTATATGTTCCAACCAGGTGATTGCTAATAGAGAACTAATTTCGTTTTATATTCAAACAAGGAGAAAAAATAAATGAAGAATAATATAATTGCTTGTTATGCTATTCAGTTATGTGTCTAAATGCATGATAAGAAAAACAAATGACCAAGTTTCAAGGAACTCTCACTTGGTAAACTTTAGAACTAATAAGATAATAATCATATCTCTTACGAGATGATAGAATATTTATTTGGCTGATGTTATCCTCAACTTTTTCAATATTCAAGAGGTGTGTTGTATCTAGTGCTTTCGGCCATTTTTCTGTTCATTTAGTAAGTAGGTGGTATAATTTTTGCCCGAGATTTCATTTCAAGGCTTGATTCTTACTATATTAATGTTTTTCATTTGGGATTTTGATCTGGAATACACTATAGGCGTTTATAGCAGACTGTTGTGAATACATTTGAAATTCAATTCTTAGTAAAAAAAATTATACTCCGATACTTAGCAATCACTTACTAAATGAACGGAAGAATAGTCGAAAAAGTAGGATACAAAACATATACTAAGCATTAGATAGGTTGACGATAACCCCTATGGGTTTACTTAATGCACATATTTCCTTCCCATCTAAATATTCACAATTGAAAGTTTTATACAATTTAATTTTTTTACAGTTACCAAATAATTAAACAATTTACTTAATACTCAGTTCAATATTCATAATCGCTTACTTCATCAGCATTATTTTATACATTAAATAATCGATGACAGGCGAGGTAATCTTATATCCTGTTAGAGGTATGAGGGCGATTATCACATTCTAGTTTTCAATATCGCGGAAGGATACTTCTTATAGAGATACCAGGAAAAAAGTGGGTTCGGAGCGCTCTTAACGACCCATGAGCGTGACAGAAGAGCACAAAGGACGACTTTTGAGGATTGTCACACATACAACCTTTCTTCTAATACTTTTAAATAATCTCATGCAATCGATTCCCTTTACGGACTTAAATAAAGCCAGGGCAAACATGGATGCAGAAAAATATGAATTCATTTTCGTGGTTACTGATCGGCTGCTTACGACCATCTATATATTGAAAGTTTGTGGACATAGACCTGACAAGTCTATTTCTTTCCGTTGTGTTACTGACATAGCGTGATATATTGTTGCTTGCTAGCAAATACATCGTTATACACACATACCTTGTTCTACTTTCGCTTGTGATTGAACTAACTGCATTCTAAATCAAACATTATCTGCATTTATAGACAGTGGGTCGGAATATATCATACCTAACACTAGTTTACATTACTGGAGAGCCCAACAACCTGAGCGGAATTACCGAACATTTATAATTGTGGATTTTCAGTACCAGACCCAATCCGAACACACATCAATTTGGTGAACTTAAGTAAAGTCCCAATTTTCTATTGTATTTGTAACAATTAACTTATATATATATATTAACATTACTATTGATCTTTAATAACTTTGTTGATACTTTTTACGTTTATATATCGTCTGGTCCACCACAATTATTTGGTGAGCCCGACGTGATATTATAGACGTTTACTGTTTATATATATATATATATATATATATATATATATATATATATATGTGCAGGGACCGGTCAGAGATCATTTGGTGTTGGAGCCCAAAAATCATAGTGGATTATGCATTAAGTGCGGTTCAGAGACAGAAAAGATACGAACCAAAACATACATTGGAGGAACAGAGAGAAGAGTACATGCCTGATTTATGCATCCAAAATGAAACAGTAATAAACCTAATACTACCCTGGTAAATCATTGTTATTACCTTTATTTTATTAGTGTTCATTTTGTTATGTGGTCTTCACTTACCGAATTCTTATTTTGTGTACATTAAAACCACCCCTTCACTCACATTTGGATTCACTTAATTTTCTTAACTTATGTAAACTCTTCAAATCCTTTTCAATTGTTACGTAACCCATCCTATCCGTTTTTTAATCTTAGGAACCTTATGTAAACCCTTCATAACGTCTAAAATCATCACGCAAATTAATCGGATGTTTCTGAATCTCACTTTAATAATCCATCACTAACCCCTTGCTTTTTATCCCAAAATCAAATGACCTCCGACCTGTTCCTGTACATATATATAGAGTTATTATTGATGACTTTTGTCATTCCAATTCTTTACATTCATCTATGTCAATTGTTTCACACTATATCTTACTTCAATGCAGACTTTCAGTATATATATGGTTATAAGCAGCTGATGAGAAACTACGAAAATAAATTCATCTTACTCTGCATTTGTTTGTTTTGACTTTAAATAAGTTGGTTCCGTACTTTAAAACTCTTACTGCCAGTGACGGAAATCTGTGGAGTATGGCGAGGAGTGCTACTTTTTTTAGCGTCAACCCTTTTTACCTCAATCTGCCGTTGTGTGAAGGCAGAATTACTGTAGATGCTGATTATATGAAAGAAACACCTTACTGCTGCCCTTATACAACCAGCAGTACGACTTCACCATCAGACCATGCTACTTTTAGTAATGTATGATGGAACGTAGTATAATTAATAATAGTACTACTAATCTACATAGCTTACACCATTTATATATAATATATATATACTAGCCTATGCTCCATTGGGAGTAACAGGCGTAAGTTAGTAAGTAAGCCTCTCAGTTTTATTTGACCAATAAGTTGATTTAAATGATCATTGTGTATTAGTCATTTCAATCTTTGCAAGAGCAATAAGAAAACACTTCTTTCATAATATATAAAACTGTAATATAAAATTGATCGAACTCATATGATAAAAGAAACTAATGATAACTTATTGTAAAAAATATTTTTCATTTACAGCAGATTGAAAATGTGAAAGGATTTACAAGTTGAACAAAATAGTTTTGTCATTGGATTTTATGTTTTCAGGACTGAATAATTTAATTGAGAAACTTTTATTATTCTAAAACTAACAATTAACTTTATCTAAAGTAATATGTATAATCATGACCTTGAGTATGATTGAACATTTCAGTAGTTGTACTATGTATATATTTTACAAAGGTTAGCAAGATTATTTTCTTTACAATCCCTTTGTTTTATTTAAGAACAAGTTGACTTTGAACAGAAATAAAAGTACAACTTGTGATAATTTGCTTACATTTGTAAAGTTATCTTTTAATAGAAACGTTTACATCATTTAGATATTAAATATTATTGCCTGTGTATTCTTCAACACTACTATGTATCTGAGAAAATCGTCAATATCATCCGGAATTCATACGACGGACTACACTGCAAAGTCGTGCGTGGAGGACAACTGATAGATGTACTCTAAGTGAATTCCGATGTCAGACGAGGCTGCTTATTTTTTGCACATTCCTTTTTTGCTGGTTTCCGACTGGATTATGAAGACATCCACATCCCAAGGGAAGCACGGAAAAGAATGGACCTCGCAGATGATCTAAATATTCTATCCCATACACACCAACAAATGCACATGAAGACAACTAGGGTGTCAGCAACCTCTGAATCGGTAGGCTTCAACATACACAACGGAAAAACCAACATTCTCAAATACAACATACAGAACACCAACACAATCTCACTTGGTGGAGAAACTCTGGAAGAGGTGGAAACTTTCACGTACCTGGACAGCATCATCGATGAACAAGGAGGATCTGATGCAGACGTAAAAGGAAGGACTAGCAAAGCAACGACAACATTTTCACAATTGAAGAACATCTGGAACTCGAAACAACTTTCAACCAACATCAATGCCAGAATCTTCAATACGAACATCAAGACAGTTCTACTGTCTTAGTGTTTCGAACTCTACAATACTATCTATACTTAAAATTATTAATGACTAAAGATAGAATAGTTGATCTTTTTGTCTGTGGTGTAAGACTAATCACAAAAAGTGAACAATTCCCATTAAATTTCTGCTTTATTGACAAAAAGAATTTACATTTACTATTTAATTAATAAACTGCTTACCGAAGAAATTCTTTTGGAAATGAAAATTAGGTAATTCACCTTTTTCTATTAATTTTACTGATAACTGACGTAAAGAATCAACAACAAATTCAGCAACATCTTCATCAACTGATCGACCAGCTGTAGTGAAATGACTACCAATATGTTCCCAAATACGTGACCATTGTAATCGAATACGACCCATGTTATAATATGAAATTTCAACAACTTTCTGAAGTGAAAATGTCCTTGCTTGTGGAAGATTCAATTCCTCTTGACTAACCTATAACCATAGAGTAATAAGAAATAAACGCTATATATATATATATATATATATATATATATTATATATATATATATATATATATATATATATATTTGATGACATGTAGTGTATAGTATTATGTCTGAAAATATTGACAAACTGAAGTCGGTTATTTGTGTTTAGGCTTTTGATAAAGATCTGATTGACATCTCAACAATAGACTAATAAGTATTGCTTGAGGCGAACTCATCTTGTAGCACTAATAACTGTAGCATGCACAACAAAGTAAGCTATACAATACTTAAGATCAGCGTATTCTAATGTATCACACTGTCGAGATAATTGAAAAGTATAACACAAATGAGGAGGTATTTTACGATTATCACATTAGATTACAATAAGACCAAAAACTTTACTGGTAGGATTTAAATCAACATTTAACAACTGACATTATGAAAGTAGTTATTTTTTATCTAACCGGTTTAAATTCGATCTCCATGACATGATACTACCTCATGAAAGCAATCCAGCCAGTATAAACAGGAAAAGTACTTAAATAAAGAGTATGATTATGGGATTCAAGGAGAATCCCTTAGTTTTAAGTTCATTATTTACAAAGAACAAAAAACTGAACCGTGCTTTTTTACGATGAAGTTCTGGTAAGTCACGAAATTCGAAAAGTCTTCAGTAAATAAAAATAATCAGATAATCGTAAGTCCAAAACACAAATATACTTTTCAGAAAAAGACATATGTTATACTATATTTTATGGAGGAGTGATGGCATACAACTTTCAAACACTAAGTTCATTGCTCGGGCCCCGAACTTCGCCTACTTCAGTTTGACCAATCAGATGTTAATATTATTAGCCGTTATAGTTAATCCGGTTTACTGTTAAGCACCCGAGTAAATAAATTAGTTTTTAATTTAAATGAAAACTATTTCTACAATACTAGAAAAGTTAAAAAATTATTCATAAACTTACTTGACATAAAGCTTTTACAAATTCTACAATAGCATCACCATTTAAACGGATTGATCCTGTAAAAATTTTGTCAACAGCAACTACCACACTCTGTGATCCAGTCTCTCCCATTACTTCTTGTAAAACAGCAGCTTTTTTAGAGTCGACAATAGAAGCCGCTAAACTACCTGGTGCTACGGGTTCATTCAAATTAGAACTTACAAAATGATTAGATGTAACTGTTGGACTAGATGCTATTAAATTATTGGACTTGATAGAACCATTTTCTGTTGTTAATGAAGTAACCGTAGATAATTCATTTATATTTTGGTTATAAGAATTGTTATATGAATCTAAAAGGAATTAATATTTAAATTGTATAACTTAATGTATTCTATCAAATGAAGACATGAAAAACAAATATCTTTTATTGAAAAACACAGTGGATTAAGAGGATTTGGAGTACTTTTAAAAACTAAAGAGAAATAAGTTGTTTCTATTCATATTTAATAATCACTATCAGTTTACATATTTCATTATATATACAACCGTGTATTCAAGTTTATCAATTCTTACAAATAGTACTATGATTTTCAGTTATTCGTCAGAATCCAGTAGTTCAGATTATTAAACTTATTCTAGTAAACACATGCTCTATAGCTTGAAATATAAGAACAGTATAAATTGTATTTTTCAAACAAAATTAAATGATAATTGCACTGAATTCCCAAAAAATAACTTCAATTATTCCAAATATGAACTGTTGGATTCTAAGTCTGTGTCAGAATGTTAGCATACTTATTATGACTTTTTATGACACCGAGTTTAGTTTTGTACAGCCGAGGATATGTATTTTGTTGTGGGACTGACTGCGTACTAAAAAGAGAAAGCTGCCTGACATATGATGACGTTTATTGTTCATTCAAGTAATATTAGACAATGACAAAATTTAGAGTGAAAGAAACCATAAATAGATACTTCAGCTTGGTATCCGTTGGAATTAGAAAATTCAATCATTCAAATGAGAAATAACTATTTAATGGCTACTCTAGATATTGGAAGGATATTTCCACAAAATCATACAACCAACAAAAGATAATGTAGAAGCCACCCAAAAGAAAACTGTGTCTTTCAAGCAACACATATCATTAAACTTCCAAGTCTATTGAGGTATTCCAAATTGGAATGTAACATCTCTCAAGTGCTACTACCTTTTCCGTAGTTTTCTAAACGTTAAATCAAATTTATATGGATCATTATTCTATGAATAACCAAATAACTAGACTGGACAAAATTAGTTTAAATAGCAAGTATTCAGTTAATAATTACTTTCATTAAAAAAAAAACGAATACATATAATCTGGAATAATTTTGTTCTAATAAATAAGCTTTCAAAATGTTTCCGCTTTGAGAAAAATAATCGATGTAATCAGTCACTAGTATTAATGATTTACAACAATCGTATTGGGTTAATCTATTTGCATCAACTGATTCCTTAAAAAGAAATGAAATTATATAGATTTGACAAGGGTTTATGTTAACTAAATTAAATATTGTTTAGGTCAACTCTTGCAAAAAAAGTAAAAGAAAATCACTTGATTCTAATCAAAAGACCAATGCTAGAAGAAGACAATAGCTTATTATTATTAGTAAATATATAAGTTTGGTTTATATAAATTATGTTCTTAAATGTCATTTTTAAAGTAAATGCGAAGATGTTAGTGAATTTTGCAAAACCAATTCCTATTATTATTATTATTATTATTATTATTATTATTATTATTATTATTATTATTATTATTATTATTCCAAACACAACCAGTTATCTAAATTGTAGGCTTGAAGATCATTCAAAATGAATACATTTTTACCACTGTGATTTCTTATTATCTTTTGTCAAAGTTTTAATTATGAAATTCCCCACTAACAGTATTGAAAGCTACTAAATGAATATACATCTGCGAATAGCCTACTTTTTTGTTTGATGCACAAGTAAAACGGAGTACTTTAAAAAAAAATTTATAAAAAAACCTGTGATATATCAAAGTTTACATGTCTTTCAAACATTTACATTTTATTATCTAGTATGAATGAATTCATTTCTTTTCAGTTTATAATTGCACTTTTAAAGTAGATGATAATACCAAGAGCATTATTTTGTGGATTAGTGGGTTCATTCTAATTGTATTCACAACGTCTACGGTATGTACTTATTAGGACATATACTTTCGAGTATCCAATAGTACATTCGAAATCTCTTTTTTTTCAGAGGTCTATAGCAGAGATCGCTGCAGTGGTGTTAATTCAGTTGATGTTACTATCTTGAAACACCGAATTCGATAGCTTGGATGTGTGAAACGAATGTCGTTCCAGCATATCCCAAATCGTGCTTTATTCATGAGCACTGAGAGGAGTGATTAATTACGAAAAGGTCCAGAGGTATGAAAAAAACTGACATCTATCAGCCCATCACAATTCGCTAATTAGAGTCCTAGAGAGTGGAGTGGGACTCAGAACGATGACCTACTGATTGAAAGATGAGTGTATTAACGACCAAGACACCTCCCTATAGAACATAATGTGGTAATAAGGTGGATAACATATCTCAAGAAAAACATACGACTATAAAACAGTTTTTTTTTGCATCAAGTCGACTGGAAATGTACATCAACTAACCATTTAGGTTGAAGGTCACAAACGTAAAAATATGATTTGAAATAGATTATTTTTCAACAAACGGACATCAATCCTTTACGACTTTTGGAAGTATACCACAAGCATTAAAGAGATACTTCAAACTTAGTATACAAAAAAATTAATAGATATATACAATTGGTAGTATGGTGAACAAACCGTGTTGTTGTAAACAATAAGAATCAGTTGTCATGGCTTTAAAAAAATAGCGGAGTTCATATTAATCAATGAAAGAGAAAAACCATGGTGATATGCATAGATATTCAAAAGTAGCTGTGAACCAGAGTTGTAAACAATATAGAAAATATTTATTTAGAATAATCAAGTTTCCCGGTAAACACAAAAAACAACAACAGTTCTGCATTAGATACTCAGTCAAGAACCAAGATATAAAATCATCTATAATAACTGTCGTCGGGACCAGTAATTAGTTATGTAAAATTAAGCACTGAGTACATAAAGGACATTAGATAGTTACCATCCATTCAAAAATTATTTGATTTATTACATGCGTTATCAGTATGCAATGTGAAACAATGTGGAGGGTAGAATCAGCTAATTACTTACGTATACTAACCAAATATTATATGGCTCATAGGCTCCTTACTACAATGGAGTTTTATGAAGTATGCAGTGGATGATACATGGTATACAGGGGTAGACGACACAAGCGAACACAAAGGATTTGCTTGCAATCCATGACGTGATTAAAGGGAAATTTAGTCCAAGAAATATCGACAACAGTCAGTCCATAAATAAAATATCCATCATCACTATCTAACCTAATACATGTTTTTATTCATGAAGATCTCATTAATTGGAAATGAGTACACCTGGAAATACGATAATTAGCGTAATACAAGTATAAAATTACACCAAACTTCAAATAAAATTGAAATGAACAGGTCTATTCAATGTCTATTCTATGTATTCAGAAGTATGATTGATTTATATCCAGAGACCACTTAATGAAAAATAGATAATTTATGTAAACTACTGAAATGTGTTGGACGGTTAACAATATGCGGATTGTTAGAATTTAATCCATATGTCGATGAAATGGCATGAGTAATTAAATGTGCTGATTCCAGTTGAGATATACACCGTAGAATTTCTAACCATGCACGTCCTAAATAATTACCATCCGTTTGAGCAACTGTAATCAATGTACGTATTGTATCAATATTTTTCTGTTTCATCGCTTCTGGAGTAGATAAAGCTGGATTAGAAGTATTTGATCCTGGTGCATTTGTATAAGCATTGCTAAGTGTAGATGATGCATTTGTATTAATCTTCTCAGATCGTGGACGACGAGAATTAACAGTTTGATGATTATTTCCATTTATACCTGATGAATTTCCACTCGTAATAGTAGGATTTATATGTGATGTTGTTAATAGCAGTGTGAATCGTGCTAGTGCTTGTACATAAGCATCTCGTTCTAATTCCATATGAAATATACATGCTATACGTATGGCATATCGAATACCTTCTAAGCACAGATGATTCACATCTAGTGCGTCAGAATCCTGTTCGAAACAAGAATATTTTGAAAGAATTTTATATATATATATAAACGAAGTAAAGACAACAGGTCACTGGTTAAACTTAGGAAGTCTAAAATGACTGAGACTAACTGTGTCTGACACGACAAGGTCACATTCTTTCTCAGTGTGAATAATAATATATATATATATATATATATATATATATAATGCATATATTACCAAATAAAAAGGCTAATCAACGCCTAATGGAAAGAAATTACATTAAAAGAATATATACGAGCCAAAAAATCTTCGAAGAATAGTAAGATATCGATTTATGCTCAATGAAAGATTATTTCATTGGAATTCATTATAAATAAGAGTGAAATAGTTGAATTTTGTATGGTTTATGCTGAATCAAATATTAGACAGTAAGTCATAGCTAATGTAAAACCTGGCATCAATGTGTATTATAAGTCTAAGTTACTACACCTTATATCAATACATTGAGAAAAGAAATTAGCAAAATAAAAGATATAGATAAGTGATAAGCTAAACATTAGAAATGTGATTTAAAAGAAACAAATGAGATCAAGATTTGAAAAAAGGATAAGAAACAAATGAATCTGAGAAAATTTGACTGATTTTAAGTCATGTCAATCTCCACATGCACTTGTAAATTATGTCTGCTTTCAGGGCTCTAACCAGGAAGCTTTCAAATAAGAACACAGGTCAGACCAGTCATTAATGATCTCATGGACTAATGATATGCCTTGATCATTATATCTATGGCTTTCTTATAACCTACTCTTTTGTGTCAGCTAGTATTGCAAGTCTAGGTAGCTGGTATCTAGGCCTGTGTAAAATATTTTTAATCTTCACAGACGGAGAAAATTGATGACTTCACCAATAGATCTGTCAGTTTCAAATAGCATCTTGCATTCCGTCTTAATAATACTGACCTGAGTCGCATCGCAAGTGAGAAATGCTTCAGAGAAATCTATAATCAAATAGTTGTGGCTTACGTGGATGTTGATTAGGCTAAAAAATTGGTTGCATGAACAGAGGAAAAAAAGAAGTTCGGAAATTAAATATGTCCGCACAAAGATTAGTGGGACTTTCGTTTGACAAAGTAAATTGTTTACAAAGTAAAGTGAAGTTTCTCTTTAACTGCTTAGTTTGACTCCAAAAAAATACGTGCACTGGAGCTAAATAGTTATTCTAATGTTTTCTAAATTTTCACGGGCGAATTAGTGTAAACTACCTTTGATTATGACATTGTCAGTATAAGGCGATAAATACACAAGTGTTTCGCCTTGTAACTTATACTGATAGGAATGTTATGCTGATATGGGAATAAAGTTTTTGGTTGAAACTTGAGGCGTTTAATATTTAACATCTCAAATAACTGTGTGAAAATTGTTAATGATACTAGACAATTGGATGAAGTATGTTATTAACAATGATAATATCCTACAATAAAACCAACTTTAAAATGCAAAACAGGACCGAGATACTTATTCAAGAAGTAAATAAGTTGCCAGATATTGACCACTTTAGTCTTGAACAATAACAACTGTAAAATTTAAACAAATGACATTAAATAGTATCTTCAGCAGTGGGATAATACATATAGGATCACTTTAACAAAGTAAAGTATCCATTTTAAGCTGTATGGTTAATAATTTCAAAACATTATTACCTGTAATCCAACACTGAATGCGGCCAGAAACGGTGTCCATGCTAGTTTGAACATTGGACGAACATGTTCACAATGAGTTGCACAGGTGAATTCAGATGAACCAGACATTACCTATATAATTAGAAATTAAAATTGAAGAGAAAATCATGAACAATCAAAAGATATTGATGATGAGTTATCATTACTCGACTTGTTTATACTTCGCAGTAGACACTAAACATTTTTTTGGCCTAAACCTGTTATAGGAAATAGAAAACTATAACCACATTAAATATGAAGTTGAATAACATGAAAGCTGACGCGATGATTTATATTAAATATTTTATATTTATGCACTCCGGGATATAAGCTTTATTGAGTTTTATAAATTTGAAAAGAAATAGCATATCAGTCTTTTCAAAAATTTGACTACAATAAATTACGTATTGATCCTGGTATCACTAGACATCTTAACATGGTTTGTTTACACTATTCTATCATTTTTTAACTGGAATTTGCCTTAGCTAACATAAGAATGTAACGACTCAGTAGTCTTTTTCCCACACGAACATTTTTTTTGAGGTTCTAAGATGTCAATAAAGTCGGTTGAGAAACGGCATGACTAAAAGAAACAATTTTCAGGTTCGAGAATGAGGTCATACTGTTAACTGCATCGAGGCATGAGCATGTAATTCCTATGAATAACCGGTATGCATGATGGTGCTGTTTTATCACAAACAGAGGGGCTTAGAAAGGGATCATCCAACGTTATGATAGAACACTTGACTGATAGAATACTAAATGATTGATGTACACAAACTGATGACTAACTCACACAACTAAATGGGAAAGGTAAGTCACTGATGAAACCACAAGTTTTAACAAGATTTCCAGGCTCTAATCTTCTTTTCACAACTTCGGTCAAGCTCCAGACTACTTCTCAATCATTCAATATCCACCAACATCCTGAATAAGATATTGGTATCTCACCTTCAACTCAACACGAGAAGTTAATAAAACTAATTCATTTGAAGTGAAGGAGATAAGGAAGATCTGATTACAAGGGAAGGGGCTAGGTACAGTTAGATTCCTTGAAATATTAACTGTGTGGTGACATTTGCCAATGAAACAATGATCAAAGTAGATAAACCCACTAAGGAAATATTTACTTGAACATTCTTAGTAAAACAGAGTTTAAGGTTAAGGTTCATATGGACTGACTATGTTAGAGGCATCTACTTTTTTCCAATTTAGATTTGATTTTGTCATGGATAACTTCCTAGAGGTAATTCTTTCTTTGCTTAACCTTGCATGGATTAATCTCTTTAACTGGATACACCTGTATTGACTTTAAAAATTATAAGAATAAATATTTGTGTATTGGAATATACTTTAGTTAACGTGAATAGTGTACAATCAGAATAATCATGTTTATGAACATAATTTATAAACACTAGATATGAAATACTGAATTTTTATGAATATCACTATGGTGTTCCAGATAGAGTAAACTCGAGCTGTTTTAAATAATTATGTTAACCAGTGACAAAATTTAATTACGTTATGGTATACTTATGGATACTGAATAACTTTATTTTCGGTAAATATTATTTAAAGTTAAATTTTAGCATGGATTTACATGAGCTGAAAAAAAAATTGAAAACTGGGAAACACTAGACGGCTGTTTTATTATGGTTTGCTACTTGTCAGTGATGCATAACTATTCACTATCTAGTAAATCACGCAGAGAGCGCGTTAAATATTTAGACCGATGAGTTGAAATCTAATGGTAAACAATCCAAATTTAATCACTTCTCAACATAACATGATGATCAGTCAACGCGATCGGTGGTATTTTTCATGCTCTGCAAAAGATTGAATTTCGTTAGTCAAGAAATCTCACTAGAAATTTGTAAACTAACCACTACCATTAGTAAGCACACGACTTTTGTTAAAATTATACAGTTCGAGATAGGGTTTTCATAATGGGTTAATATGTATTTATATGAAAATATATCATGATGATGGATACGATTAAAAGATATAATGTTATTGAAATCAGAAACCAGGAACAAGAGGTATTTTGATAATCTTTCTGAGGTTATTCAAAATAAATAATATGATTAGATTGTGAACTGGATCAGTTAAATAATAGATACACTGATATTCTTAATTTATTGAACATTCTGTTTGTGTTTCACATAAACTTTTGTTTGGTTCTAGCTAACAATTTCTTATTGTAACTGACAATCAATAACACTTGATACAATTTAATTACTAACTAAATTACAGACAATGCTGAGAATGAAATGTAATCTACAAATTTATTCATTCTTGACAAAATAATATTAGTTTATTGTTACCGAAAATAAACTTCAATCATAAAATTAATGACAAATATACAATATGACTTCAGTCACATTATATTAGATAAAGATAAAAAATGTTAAAATGTCAAACGAAGTAGTAAGTAGTAAACATCAATTCAGTGTTTGATTTTATTTATTTTTTTGATTATTATGTTCCTTCTATATTGACCTTGTTATTGATGTGTACCCGTAGTTAAATGTGTATTTGATTTATGTTTATTTGTTTGTTGTTTTTTTACAAGAAATATGATAAACACATAATTGTGTGTATTTGTAGTTACGTAAAAATAATATTTATTTAAGAAGAATATTTTTCTTCCATAAAAATTTAGTATTATTCATTCTGTGTTTTAGAATGGAAGGATGGTAAACAGATAATTAAACAAATACATCAAAGTATAATACTTTTCAAAAATTGATTAACTTAGCTGGAGAAAAAAATTGTTCAGTCATTAATGGTCATAGGATTAATGTTCAGTTTTTCTCAATATGATTACTGGTACTTTATTTAATTTCCCTACTATTCATCTCGTTGTGCTGTCCTATGGGAACTTGAACCAACGCAAATATGTATTAGGCTCTATGCTGATTGACTGATTGTAATGGTTAACCGTTTACGATGAAACCTGAATGTTCTTAGTTTAATCCCTAGTGTGGTCGTGCGTGCTCAATGCCAAAAACTCTCATACTAGAACGAGATAGAGGTTCAGAATCTATAGATTCTAAAATGTACCCTCAACTAAGATCAATTTGTCATATAGACAGCCTAAAAATAATTCGGCAATAATTTGGCTGAACGGCTTTGTGGAGTTTATTCGCATGATGTATTACAGTCTGCTGAAATATCAATCAGTCAGTCAGTCAGCTACAACGTAGGACCAGGCACATATATGCATTGGTCCAAGTTGCCATACCTCATTAACACAACAAGATGGACATCGGATTCATAAAAGTAGTTAATTCAGAGGTGGTAATATATAAAAGAAAGATTGCAATAAGGATATAGTACAGGAAGAAAGAATTAGTTCGTAGAAAGAAAGATATGAAATAATTTTAATCTCATAGTTTAAGGGAAGACAAAGAGTGTATACACCTACGCCATCGTGATCGATTCTGAGCCATGTCACCAAGAGTCGCCAACCATTGGTTACGATGGTCACGCGGACCCCAACCAAGTCGTATGCATCTACCAACATGGCTCAGAACACAAAGTTAGTGACTTCAAGCACTGATGCCACGTTTTGGTTTGGCCACCCCTAATTCTCTTCCAACCATCTCTAACACCCGTTAGCATTGCACGACGTGGTAATCGGTGTTCAGACATACGTACCACGTGGCACAACCATCTCAGTCGATGAAGATTCACAACCTCATCAACTGATTTACCATCATTTCCTAATACCCTGCGTCTAACCTCACTATTACTTACCCGGTGATCCCAACAGACGGCAGCAATATTTCTAAGGCATCTGTGGTCAAATACTAGTAGCTTACGAGTGTCTTCTACTCTTAATGGCTATGTTTCGCTGCCGTAAAGTAGAACAGAACGGACTGCCACGCAGTATACTCGTCCTTTTATTGATAGACGGATATCTCGCTTTCGCCATAGGTGACGTAAGTTGGCAAAAGCCAAGCGAGCTTTTCGAATCCGTGCTGAGGTTTCGTCAGACACTAACCCATTAGGGCTGATCAGACTTCCAAGATAAGTGAAGTTGTCAACGCGTTCGACTACTTCACTCCCTATCCTTAGTTCAGGTGTTGACGCAGACCAGTCCTGAAGCAGCAGCTCGCGATCAGAGGAGAGAAATATCACTGAAAATCAGAGAGAAATAGACAGTTGTTTTGTTTTGATTTTGAACTCTTGCTAAGATACTCGTATGCTCTGAGCTTCGATCTCCCATGTGTGGTCAAGAGTGAGTTAAACTAAGAGATCGGGGGAACTATAATTTATAGATGAACCAATCAGATTTACGATAAAAGGTCTTGAATTTTGGCGCGAAATTAACTCATCCATTTGGTTAAATAGAGTTTTGGCATTATAGCTTATGTCAGTTCGTGATGAAAACCCTATATCTGATTCCTAACCCTAACCATCAGCTGTAAATATTAATCCTAATTCCTCACGCTGGTTTATAAACCTCATTTAGCCGTAGTATGTAGGTGGACTTTCTCAAGGTCTCTTAAGCGTCACTCAAAGGTCGTCCATAAATTATAGTCTCACAAAGAGTTCTCTTCAAAATAGTTTTAAACAAATATTATCTAGTTCTGTTTACTTTTCAATAGTTCTCCAATTGATGTTCATCGGCAGAAGGACTTAATTGCTGAAAAATGACTTTCCTAAACTAGTCGCTAGGTTGTCAAGCATAAAGTCTTAGTGTGCTCAAAGTCAATAAGTAAACAATTCGTCTCGGGAAACTTTATTTGTTTCCAAAAAAATTAATTAATACAGTTAGAGCAAAGGAGAATCAATGCAATCTGTTAACGGATAAAGATGTTAAACAGCCCATACTGAACTAGAGGAAATAAAAAATTAGTCAACTATATTAACAACAATGCATTTTATCGGTGTGATACAATGGGAAAATTCTTAAATGGTTAGATAGTTAATCACCTACAAAATTGATTTTCCTCAATCATCAGTAACATTTAATCATGTTTATTTCTTTGTCAACATTTTGTATATAGATATGTTATTTTATTAAGAATAAACTATTCTGCTAGAAAGTTATGTTGTCTTCTAACATTAGCTCATTGGGAACTTATGTTATTAACTCGGTCTCGTGAGCAGGCATCATTTGACTATGTTCAGTATTATTGCAAGCCACTTATCGACCAACATTCTTTACTTTCATTTTAACAACAAAAAATTCATCAAATCAAATCTTGTAAAATACTAATCCATAAAAAGATGAGAAGTGGACTAGTTGTTGCAGTCGAACTAATCTATATTGTGAACTATATTTAAATATAATTTAGGATGTTGTTTCAACCTTACGGTACCTATCTTAATAATTGTAAAACAATAAGAAATATGTAATGTTTACCAATTAATTCGTCTTGATAAAATTTCACGCTATACACAAATTATTTGTTTTTTAAATAAAACTTAGATGTCAACTTCAAAAGATAGTAGAAGAAAAATAATGTTAAATACAAGTAATATAGCAAACACAAAAAAAATGAACGTTTATCAAACCATTGAAGACAAAGATTTCAATGTAAATTAACTTTAATTCGTTTATTTATTTTTATTTGCGAAAAAAAAACTTACAGAATCTCCTAAAATCTCACCATCTGTTTGTCGTCGGTTATCTAGCTTAGGGCTGATTTCAGTTGATGTAGAAATTTTTGTAAGTTTGGTAACATTATCATCAGCTTTCAATTTTATACCAGCATTAGCAATTTCATCATAAATTTGAGCTAAATAGGATTCTGGTAAATCTTGACTGTCATTTATGCCACGATTCATGCGTATATAATCCTCCTTTTAAATATGGTGATAATAAGAATGACAAAAAAAAATAAATTAGTTGGTAGTCAATCGAATTACACTGAACTGAAATAAATTTCTTATAATAATGAATATAAATTATTAATTTGAGTAAAATAAATAGGTTTTTCGCATTCTTTTTTCTGTACGGTTGCTAGGTTTGGTGTACTATGCGCATGAAAAATAATAAGGATACTCAGCGAGTGTACTTTTTAAGAATGGTGGTTTCTGATTTCGCGTCTGTATTTCATTAAATCTTCAAATGATATCCCGAACGAAGCTGCTACCTTGACGCGGTGGTCGGGCTTGCCTATCGTGATGACCCAACCGAGCTATATTGGCTGGAACATATGTTCCTATAGGTTCTAGCATGCCATTCAGGTCGATTGGAGAACGGTAAGATTAAAAGCAGCAACTCAAGGTCTGTGGGCTAAGTCTTACTGCTGACTGTAGAGGGGTGTGACAGCAGTAAGGTGTTTCCCTCCGACAACCAGCATCTGCAGCGATGCTTCCTTCTTACAAGGAAGGTCGGGCTCAGAAAAGATCGACCCTCAAAATGTCACACCTCACCTTACCTCACGGATTTCCGTCTCCGGCGGTAAGGCCCTTTGAAGAACGGAGCTAACACGTCAAAAACCTTCCACAAAAAGGCCGTGCGCGACCGGCCTCAAGCAGTTGTCCCTTGGGCTCTGCGGTCACGCTCCCAGGTCGTCAAGACCAACACTAATCCAATTTCCTTTTCAGGTTCCTCAAGAAATACCCTTCCACGGTGTGGGCAGCCGGGAAGTGACATCAGCCCTCATACCCGTAACAGCACAAGAGACCAAGGTGGTCACATTCAAATCCTTCCTACCTCTCTTATCTCCATGACTAACCCTCCTCACGTCTCTTTATCACCTCGCACCGCTAGGGCAAACGATTCGAGTACGTGGAACGCCATTCCTGGTCTCCTGAAACCACGCTCTAAACTACACGTAGGAGCTTTTAACGTACGAACACTTTGCCAAATAGGACAGCAGGCTTCCTTAGCTAAAACTTTAGAATCTCGCGCCATCGATGTGTGCTGCGTCTCCGAAACGCGCATACAGGATCCAAGTAGCGTCATTCATTTGACCTCACCATGCCAAAATAAAGAACCGACTCGATTTACGCTTCGTGTATCTGGAAGCCCTGATTCTGCTTCCCGTGGCCTCGCCGGCGTAGGTATAGCATTGAGTCCTAGGGCAGAACTAGCTCTCTTAGAGTGGATCCCAGTAGACAGTCGTTTGTGCGCTGTCCGACTGAACGGAACAGTAAGAATCCGGAAAGATAGGGACACTCGTCGTTGCCTCTTCGTCGTCTCTGCCTATTCTCCCACTGACTGCAGCTCAGATGATGTAAAAGATGAGTTTTACAGAAAGCTTTCGGACCTTCTCCGAAAAGCTAGGCGCTCGGATGTAGTAATAGTGGCCGGTGACTTTAATGCTCAAGTAGGTAAACTAAGCGATAGGGAAAGACACCTAGGTGGATCTTATGGTGTCGTGGCTCAAAGAACAGATAATGGCGACCGTCTGTTGCAGCTATGCTCAGATAACCGCCTGTTCCTTGCAAATACTAACTTTAAGCATAAGGAAAAACATCTTTTAACATGGCGACCCCCTAATTCGTCCCAACGTTGGACCCAAATAGATCACATCGCTATCAGCCACCGATGGAGGGGCTCGATAGAAGACTGTCGCTCATTCTGGAGCACATGCCTAGATTCAGATCATGCTCTAGTGCGAGCGCGTATTTGCTTGCGTCTTACTGGACGTAGGAAAGACGCTGCAAGGAAACCTCTTAGGGCCTACTTAATGATAGTCAAGCTAAGAGTATATTTCAGGAACAACTAGGAAAACAGTTAGGCAGCCATGTATGTGATGCCCACCCCGATGCAGCATGGAATGATATCCGAAAAGCTGTGGAAACAGCAGTGATATCTGCTAGTAAGGTAAACCAGAAGGTTAGGGAGCAACACTGGATCTCAGCAGCATCTATCGCACTGATAGATGCTCGGAAACTCATTCCACCTGGCTCTGAACATAATGAAGAGCGGAGTCAGCTTAAGCGCAAGCTGACAAGAAGTCTACGCAATGATCGCGAACAGTGGTGGGTAGCGAAAGCAAGAGAGATGGAAAAGGCAGCGGCAATAGGTAATAGCAGACAATTGTTCAGACTCGTTAAGGAAACCGGAATTAGGAAACCGACCGTTAGCGAAACAATCTCAGAGAAAGATGGACATATTATTCATTCTCAATCCAGGAGATTGGATCGATGGGCAGAACACTTTAGGGATCAGTTCAACTGGCCTTCAGCCACACTTCGGTTTCCCACGATCTCCAGTCAACCTGAATGGCAAGTTAATGTAGGTCCTCCGTCCCTTTACGAAGTTGAAAAAGCCATAGGAAATCTGAAACGAGGGAGAGCAGCAGGCCCTGACAGGTTTACTCCTGAGATTTTTAAGGATGGTGGTCCAGTATTAGCAATGAGATTAACTGAGGTCTTAGGTAGAATTTGGGAACTGGACGTAATCCCATCTGACTGGTCTCAATCACTGATTGTGCCAGTCTATAAGAAAGGACAAAAGTCCTCTTGTGACAATCACAGAGGAATCAGTTTGACTAATATAGTGTCTAAAATATTAGCTTCAATAATACTTCGACGCCTAATCAAAGCTCGTGAAGAGCAGACTAGAGAAAACCAGGCCGGTTTTCGACCTGGACGTGGTTGTATAGATCAGATATTCACACTACGTCAGGTTCTAGAACACAGACACACATTCAGACGCCCCACAATGGTAGTATTTCTCGACCTTAAGGCGGCATTCGACTCTGTTGATCGTGAGGTTCTATGGCAGTGTTTGTCACTGAAAGGAGTACCAAAGAAGTACATTAACCTTATAAAGGCTCTCTACTCGAACACAACTGGTAGAGTGAGAGCTTATGGCGAACTGTCATCAGAATTGATTACCTCAAGTGGTGTTCGTCAGGGCTGTCCACTCTCCCCATTCTTGTTCAACTTTGTGGTCGACGTACTTTTAGAGATAACACTCTCCTCATCTAAATTTCCAGGGGTTGAACTTCTACCGGGAGGTTCACTTGTTGACTTAGAATATGCTGATGACATAGTTTTATTTGGTGAAGACGCTGACAAAATGCAGAGTCTTCTGACCACTCTAAGCAACAATGCAAGCATGTTCGGGATGCGATTCTCTCCCTCGAAATGCAAAATGTTGCTTCAGGATTGGGTTACATCGACACCCGAACTAGTGATAGGGAGTGAAGTAGTTGAGTGTGTCGACCGCTTCACTTATCTTGGAAGTCTCATCAGCCCTTGTGGTTGGTGTGTGACGAAATCTCAGCACGGATACAGAAGGCTCGACTAGCTTTTGCCAACTTGCGTCATTTATGGCGTAGGCGAGATATCCGTCTATCAACCAAAGGACGTGTTTACTGCGCAGCAGTTCGTCCCGTCCTACTTTATGGTTACTAGTATTCGATCATAGGTGTTTTCGAAACATTGCTCGTATATCATGGGACCATCGAGTAAGTAACACAGTTGTTAGAAAACGGGTACTAGGTAAGGATGGCAAATCAATTGATGAAGTAGTGAAACTTCACCAGTTGAGATGGCTGGGACACGTGTTACGTATGCCCAACCACCGACTACCTCGACGTGCTATGTTCAGTGGTATAGGAGTAGGTTGGAAGAAAGCTAGAGGCGGCCAAATCAAAACATGGCACAAGTCCATGAAGTCACTGACAAGTGGACTGAGTCATGTTGGTAGGTGTAGACTACCTGGTTGGGGACCGCGAGATGATAGTAACCGATGGTTAGAGACCCTGAACGACATGGCTCAAAATCGTTTGCAATGGCGCAGGTGCATCCACTCTTTGTGTTCTCCCAAATTCTAATCTTCTGAATTCTTCATGTCCCGTTTTTCCTCTTTCCAAATTTATTTCACTGGATTATACTCTTTAAATAACATCTCCAAACACTAATCTTCCCGATAACTTCTTATACTCTTGCTACCTCTACCACTATGGGATTTGAATCGACAACTGCATCTCTGTGCTAAGGTGGTGTGGCAACTCGAACTGATGTACGTACGTACGAAGTTCTACGTTGTTACTGACTGACTGACTCAAATGATATGAATTAACAAAAGAAAATCCTTAAACTGATGAAGTCACAAACACAACTGAAAATTCATGAACATGTTTTAAAACCTATTAACTCATCCTAACTGCTAATGTACAAAGTTTACTTAGCACCAAAGCGCTGACATCAAGAAGCACTATCACATGAAATCAACAACTTGTGGAAATCAATGATAAGTGTGTGGTCCAACTGTTCAAAATATATTACACGAATGCATCAAATTCTCAAGATAAACTTCATTCATAATAAACCTTGATAATAGTCAGCGTTGAAAAAAAGGTTAATCTAACAAATATAAGGCGCTGAATATATATTTCTATAATCTATGATATCCTAGTGACTGATTGGATTCTTTAAAAAAATGAAATATAATGAAATATTGTTAAAAGGAATTATTTCACGAACTCATTACCTTACTCATACGATTATGCGGTTTAATCTGAGAACTATGCAAATCTGTAGTCAACATGATTATTGAGAAAGCCAAAACGTATGCAGTATCGGCTGAAGCAAATACATTATTATTTGGATTGCATGCAAAATAACGTGCAGCAAACTTTTCCATAAGTCTATCAATTTTCTGTGCTTCACCGGTAATCGAAAGCCCGATAAAAATTCCCTTTGATTAAAATGCAAAAAAATAATAAAACAATTTAAACTAGGTAAAGCAATTTATTAATTTGTTTTGAAATGGACTTTTTATCACCCACCAGTTAATATCAACTGTTGAACCATTGAGGTTAGCGTCTTTTTAGCGAGTTAGTTTTCTACGGGATGCGGTCGCTAACCCCATGCCCGACCCTCCTCCTTTACCCGGGTTTGGGACCGGCAGTAACTCTAGAAGACCTACAGGCAGATGGAGATTGCTAATGGGGAGCCTATGCTCCTCCAAGAACAACAGGCATAAGTTAAACCATTGGAAAGTATGGAAAACCAGACAGCTGTTTTGTCCTAGTTTGATACTTGTCAATAGTATGCATTAACAAACTCACAAGGGGGCATCGATTTCAGGACTTCCAAATCTCGTAGCAAAGTTCCAAAATAAGACGAAACAGCAGCTGTCTAATGACTCTTCGTTTTTAATGTTCACCAGATCATATCAATAGATTAAGACTATCTTCAAAATGAAGAACTTTCGTCTCCTGTTTACAAGTTACGTGACCAAAAATCACTTCATTTAAAGATGTATGAAATTCACGGACTAATAGAGATAATTTATTTTTAATTTAGAAATAAGAAAATAATAAACAATCTCTCGAATTACAAAAAATAATAATAAGCCAATTAGTTACACACATGCTTATATACTGTAGCTTTCACTAACAATTACTCTTAATAGTTGTGATGCAACTTAAAATGATGTTGAATGAACGGATATCTTATGAGTCTATGTTTAGAAGTTTTTTGTTCAAATTAACGAATCTAAAGGGGGAAATCTCGTTGTACATAAAATCGAATAAAGTATTAACAAATCAAATTTCACATAAATGTTGGTCATTGAGATTTGAAAGAGAAAACAAAATAAACGTAACATGTTTCGTTTGTCTTGTATAGAAACAATGACGGTTAACAACACATTAAAAAAACACGTAGTAAACACGTCTAGAACGTTACGATACAGCAAACAGCATCAAGGAATCAAATGATAATGAAATGACCGACTATTTTAACAATTACAAGCTGTTCTCAAAAAGAAAACATTAAAGGAAGTGTTACTACTTCATTCGGTGCATATTCATTAGCAGGACAATTAACTATACTTATTATGTGAGCATATATTTATGCATTAACGATACCACTTGACAACTAAAGTCTAAATTAAATAGAATGAGTTAAAAACACATATTGTTGACAACTGAATATCACAAAGAAATCCTGACCCATTAGTTGAAAAGTTGAAAGATAATAAACTCACCTCATAGCAGAAACAAAATCCTTGTCAGTGAAATCAAACTGATCAACATATGCATACATAACACGTAGATTGTACGGTTCATTTTCACCGAGAAAATAACCGATATGTGATTTTGACAAACGATCTTCAACTAAGAGAAACTGTGCTACTGACTCAACAGATTCTCCAATCAATCCATTTTCTTGCAGTAATTGCAAACAACGAAGAGGTTGTTTTTGATTGAACAATGCTAATCCAGATTCATAAATTTCTTTTTGTGCCTTGCGAGATTCAAATGCTTCAGGGTCATCATAAGGCTTAACAGTGCCTAATTTCGATAAAAACATATATGTAATAATCAATTATAATATTTAAATATTTATTAAAATATAGCTACAATTATCTTTAGAAGTAAAAGACAGAGAAAAGATTAAGAAAAACCATTTAACACCAAAATGTTGAATAAAATCGGAATAGATCAAGAATCGAATCATTCAGATGCATGTCAGGGTATATTACTTACGCAAGTTACCCCTCGCAGAGGATCATAGGCCATCCACCAGCATTCTCCATCTGAATCTGTTCTAGACAATCCTTTCCAGTTGCTACTCATTCTTTTCATACCTGCTTCCAATTCCTGGTCTAGTGTGTTCTTTAGTCTTCCTCTTTTCCTTTTCCCTTCAGGATTCCGAGTTAGCGCCTGCATCGTGATGCTGTTTGATGATTTTTGTAATGTATGTTCTATCCAACACCACCACCAGACTTTTTCCAATTTCCTCTTCAGTTGGAAGCTGGTTTGTTCTCTCACACAGTAGGCTGTTGCTGATGACATCCGAACAACAACGGACATTGAGTATTTCGAATAGACAATTGTTTATAAATACGTGTACTTCTTTGGTGATGGTTGTTGTAGTGGTTCCCGAAGTATCAGCTCCATTCAGTAGAACTGTCTTGATGTTCATATTGAAGATTCTGGCATTGATGTTGGTTGAAAGTTGTTTCGAGTTCCAGATGTCCTTCAACTGTGAGAATGTTGTCGTTGCTTTGCTAGTCCTTTCTTTTACGTCTGCATCAGATCCTCCTTGTTCATCGATGATGCTGTCCAGGTACGTGAAAGTTTCCACCTCTTCCAGAGTTTCTCCACCAAGTGAGATTGTGTTGGTGTTCTGTGTGTTGTATTTGAGGATGTTGGTTTTTTCGTTGTGTATGTTGAGGCCTACTGATGCAGAGGCTGCTGCCACCCTAGTTGTCTTCATGTGCATTTGTTGGTGTGTATGGGATAGAATATTTAGATCATCTGCGAGGTTGAAATCGTCTAGCTGCATGCAAGCCGTCCTTTTTATTCCGTGCTTCCCTTGGGATGTGGAGGTCTTCATAATCCAGTCGTAAACCAGAAGAAATGGAAAGTGCAAGAATTTAAAGGTATATGGTGGCAACTATATTTGAGAACCAGTCTCAGCATAGTCAAACATCTTATTCTTGTTCGTATTACCAGTAGTTCATTCGCGCTACCTAATCTCGACTAACATTACTACTAGAGGGATTATTTATGGTACGAAACATATTTCAACAATCTGAATGGTTAACTGATTCCATCTATACTAGCATACACAATAAATATGCTTGATTAAAATTAAAAATTGAGTAGAATATACATAAACACATATGAATGGTATACACGATAAAACCAAAAATCTGTTTGCTTTCCATACTTCGAATTGAGCGAAATAATGTTATTTATTTTGTCAAAAGTGTCTATAGGACGTGAATGACCCATACAATACACCAATGTATATTTGATGCCAGAAGTCGTAAAACATTTTATTATAGTTGCGTAATGACGTTCTACGAACATTAGACTTTCCGTAATTGATTAGTTTTAAGAAACCCAAATTCATGAACATATAATTTTACCAAAGGAGTTATTTCATGTGCCTCAATAACATATATACCGGTAAATTTCCCCGTAAATTAATCTTACCAGTAAATATGAATGCATTTACATTACATGATCTAAATTAAACCACACTCATCTCAAAAGTTACAGTAGATTCACTTCAGTTAATATTGAAATCAAGGTTAAAGTCTAGGTTCCTGGAGAGGACTGTAAATGATTGAAATAAATAAATGAAAATCGTCAACTAATTGCACCATTGTGGGTGGTTCCGAGTGTTTGGTTTAATGGCATAAACACCTTTTCAAACTGACGTACGTGTTGTGGATTTGAAGTTATAAAAAATGGACAGAAACCGAGTATCTAGGCTGGGAGCACAGTTTCACTAAAAACACATGATAACGAGAAGGCTTATTTCTCATGAAGATCAGTTTATAATAATCAGCTATCGAGACTGAACTAATAAATAGTTATAAAATGAAGTCCTGAAAGTGGTGGTTGAATTCCAAGACGATCGAGTCACATATAATGTATGAAGTAATAGTACTGAATAAATATTGTTTGAAACTACTCACCTAGTGAAGTCATATTATGATTACCATCCACACCAGAATTCTCTACTGTATTAGTATTACTGCCACTATTCGCCAACATTGGTTCAGAACCCAAAAACGACTGAGATTCTGGATTAACATAAAGCTCCTGGGACCATTCAGTCATACAACGTAAAATCAGTACTAAACACTCTAAACCACTAGATCGTAGTATTTGTTGTTGTTGCTGAATTGATGACGACGTATTATTCCCATGTTCAGCGACTAGATAACGTCCTTGAGCTATTTTAGCTAAATCTGTTGTTAGTCGTTCGAATATGTTCGCCATACTTAAATCACAATCATAATTGAGATAAATATCAACTAAGCATTGTGCATCACCACATATACGTTTCAATGCATCAATAACAATTAATTTATGCCCATATGATGACTTGGATGACTCTAAAATGAGTAATAAGACATCTTTGAAGAATACTTCGATTTGTCTTTTCAAGTATGGTTTGAAATATGTTAATAGGGCAAGAAAAATAGCAACAGATAACTCGAATATTTCCACAATTGGTGAAGTGCCATTTTTAAATAAAGCTACACATAAATACTGTTTGATAGCAGCTATGAATATTTCACTCGTTGAAAATAACGGACCAGGTTGTTGTAACAAATTAAGTAATAATTGTAATGACAAAGATTTTGAGCGAACAGCATGTGATTTAGGATCATTTGAGTCTGAACCCGTGAAATCTTTCACTGCCAAACGACATAAGCTACGAAAAACAAGAAATGCATCCTTCTGTGTAACATGCGCTGAAGTGACAACTTCACAATTATTATCCACGACTAATGTAGAATTCGGATCTCTTAAATCCGACTCATGTATGTTATTGGTAGTTGTAGCAGTGGCATTAACAATACTAGGAGTGACATTACCACTTGACCATTCTTGATTAAGGCTAGTATTTACTGAAATTGAAATGGATGAAGAACGTGACGAATCTATGGATGATTTACATATATCAGGTAGCGATTCAGAATTTGGTATACAATGAGGTGATGACAGAGAATTACTATCGTCTTCGTCATCTACTGTGACTTTTTTTATTATGTCATATAGAATGTTTTCCACGATCTCATTAACTTTCGACTCAGAATCCTTGTCTTCTTTCGAAGGTATATCGCCATTGTCAGCATCAGGAGAATCACAACTGTTGATATGAGCATCGCCATTTAATAATTTTTCACCAGTATTATTTTCATCCTATATTACAGTAAAGGAAGATATACACCAACATGTTTGAAATTGTTTATATTCTAAATCTGATATTTAACTCACTGGAAAAATGGTTATTATCATTAAGATCATTGATCATTCAGAGAAACAGTGTACAAAACAGCCAGTATGATAGGATGATATATGAGTACGATAAGTAAGAATGTAAAGTACATCTTTTTATCAAGTTAAGATTCTGATTGTAAAAGTGACTTAAATTAAAGCTCGTTTGCCCGGTAAAAATACTATTTTCTACCGCTTTAATCCCTTACATTAAGTGATGGACAACTGAAAGATGACTACTGATAATCAAACTATAAACACTAGTAACACTGGTTAGTGATGTACACTATCTTTTACTTAAAGAAACAGTTAAAAATGTGTGTGAAGACCTGTAGCATTCGATCTGCACTAAGAAGGACTTGACACAAATGACAGTGATCACCACCCAGTGATCAATCAATTGTGAATATATCCCAGTCCTACAGGAGCTTGGTCGCGGTCCGGATAGCCCAGTGGTAACGTCTCTGACTGTGAAGCTGGGTGACACGGGATCGAGTCCGTCAGGGAGCACCCGTTCCCTCAAGATTACAGGCACACCTTACTGACGAGTGCCAAGTAGCACGAAACCTAGATCCAGGGTTTCCTGTTGACTACCTTCAAACACCATCTTATCTCAACGTAGTGCACGCAATGTCGAGTCACCTGAACTAGTGGCCACATTACAACTTGGTCGATAGCATTCGATCTCCACTAGGAAGGACTTGATACATATGATATTTATCACCACCCAGTGACCAATCAATTGTGAAAGACTGATAGCGCTTAAATTAATGCTAACTAAATTACAACGTAGCTAAAGGAAAATTATGCGCATAGAGAAACATTTATGAACTTCATCAAAACAATAAGCGAGTTGAAATAACTTCCATAACTGGGGGTGATTAGTCAAGTGAATACAGAAAGATCAACATTGAATCTAATATGCGAATGAAAGTCACCAGAAATTCTAAAGGTGAAATTTAACATGTAAAAGAAAAATTCGAAGAAAAAACAAAAATCATACATCACTAGTGGGTTAATCGGTGATATGTAAATCTCGAAGCATTATTTTGGTCAATGTATAGGTTAAAATTGAGCTCATATTGTTACTTATTGTTTACCTACTTTTAGTGTCACTGGTAATGCCGTGTAAATGTCTTATTGGAAAATAACTATTTATAAAAAACCTGTTGACAATCAACATTAAAACATTTCAACGGAAATCTTTGGAGTTAGGTTTGATACTCGTTAGAATTTATGACTGAAATGTATCAAGAAGTTTGTTCCTCTGAAATTTAAATTCATACCTTTTTATTATTTTGAAGTCGGCACTTATTCTTTGTTAAAGACTAGTACCAGTAGATATGAAACTCAAACTGATGCCTTTTTGAAAACCACTTAAATAAAATATTTTAGTGCTGCTTTCAACAGTTACATTGAATTAATTTAAACTTTGGTCAACACTACAGGATAGGGTACAACAATAGCTACCTTTTAGCGACCAATAAGGAGAATGAAGATCAATCCTAATCTGAAAATCGAAAGAATAATGATGTGCATGTTTCGCCGAAAATCAGCAACTACATCGGAAACAAAAGTCATATGTAAACTTAAAATTTTTCTGATAAATTAGATCAAGGGATAACCTACTTTCTGCGAATCCGATTCATTTTCAAATGATATTTGTGTTGAATTTTCCAAAGGCGATTGTTCAAGCTTGTTACACTCATCTGGTGTAGTTGAATCAGAATGAGGAGAAATATGTGCGTTAATTGCAATCGCTGCTTCAAATGCATTTTGTTCCATCCGTTGAAACAATACACTAATAATCTGTGTAAGAGTTGCACGTGCTGTTGCTTGATTAATTGGGTTTTTTGTTGCCATAAAAATGTTATAACAGGTTCTTACAACAAGAAGGATATCAGCTTCATGAATTTCAACGACTGAGCTTGTGATTACAGTTAAGAGTGCCTTTAAGATTTGTAACTGAATGCCATCATCAGTTTGCACACCCTATATGTGAAAAAATTTGACGAAATACTCTAATATAATTGCTTTGAAAAGTGGTTGCGCTTAGAGAAACAAAATGGAAAAATAAGAACTTTCATAAAATGTCGAAGATGTGAGTTACACTGATCCTGTAAATCTCGAGAATACTCAGTCAGTCAGTCAGTCAGTAACAACGTAGAACTTCGTACGTACGTACATCAGTTCGAGTTGCCACACCACCTTAGCACAGAGATGCAGTTGTCGATTCAAATCCCATAGTGGTAGAGGTAGCAAGAGTATAAGAAGTTATCGGGAAGATTAGTGTTTGGAGATGTTATTTAAAGAGTATAATCCAGTGAAATAAATTTGGAAAGAGGAAAAACGGGACATGAAGAATTCAGAAGATTAGAATTTGGGAGAACACAAAGAGTGGATGCACCTGCGCCATTGCAAACGATTTTGAGCCATGTCGTTCAGGGTCTCTAACCATCGGTTACTATCATCTCGCGGTCCCCAACCAGGTAGTCTACACCTACCAACATGACTCAGTCCACTTGTCAGTGACTTCATGGACTTGTGCCATGTTTTGATTTGGCCGCCTCTAGCTTTCTTCCAACCTACTCCTATACCACTGAACATAGCACGTCGAGGTAGTCAGTGGTTGGGCATACGTAACACGTGTCCCAGCCATCTCAACTGGTGAAGTTTCACTACTTCATCAATTGATTTGCCATCCTTACCTAGTACCCGTTTTCTAACAACTGTGTTACTTACTCGATGGTCCCATGATATACGAGCAATGTTTCGAAGACACCTATGATCGAATACTAGTAACCATAAAGTAGGACGGGACGAACTGCTGCGCAGTAAACACGTCCTTTGGTTGATAAACGAATATCTCGCCTACGCCATAAATGACGCAAGTTGGCAAAAGCTAGTCGAGCCTTCTGTATCCGTGCCGAGATTTCGTCACACACCAGACCACAAGGGCTGATGAGACTTCCAAGATAAGTGAAGCGGTCGACCTACTCAATTACTTCACTCCCTATCACTAGTTCGGGTGTCGATGTAACCCAATCCTGAAGCAACATTTTGCATTTCGAGGGAGAGAATCGCATCCCGAACATGCTTGCATTGTTGCTTAGAGTGGTCAGAAGACTCTGCATTTTGTCAGCGTCTTCACCAAATAAAACTATGTCATCAGCATATTCTAAGTCAACAAGTGAACCTCCCGGTAGAAGTTCAACCCCCGGAAATTTAGATGAGGAGAGTGTTATCTCTAAAAGTACGTCGACCACAAAGTTGAACAAGAATGGGGAGAGTGGACAGCCCTGACGAACACCACTTGAGGTAATCAATTCTGATGACAGTTCGCCATAAGCTCTCACTCTACCAGTTGTGTTCGAGTAGAGAGCCTGTATAAGGTTAATGTACTTCTTTGGTACTCCTTTCAGTGACAAACACTGCCATAGAACCTCACGATCAACAGAGTCGAATGCCGCCTTAAGGTCGAGAAATACTACCATTGTGGGGCGTCTGAATGTGTGTCTGTGTTCTAGAACCTGACGTAGTGTGAATATCTGATCTATACAACCACGTCCAGGTCGAAAACCGGCCTGGTTTTCTCTAGTCTGCTCTTCACGAGCTTTGATTAGGCGTCGAAGTATTATTGAAGCTAATATTTTAGACACTATATTAGTCAAACTGATTCCTCTGTGATTGTCACAAGAGGACTTTTGTCCTTTCTTATAGACTGGCACAATCAGTGATTGAGACCAGTCAGATGGGATTACGTCCAGTTCCCAAATTCTACCTAAGACCTCAGTTAATCTCATTGCTAATACTGGACCACCATCCTTAAAAATCTCAGGAGTAAACCTGTCAGGGCCTGCTGCTCTCCCTCGTTTCAGATTTCCTATGGCTTTTTCAACTTCGTAAAGAGACGGAGGACCTACATTAACTTGCCATTCAGGTTGACTGGAGATCGTGGGAAACCGAAGTGTGGTTGAAGGCCAGTTGAACTGATCCCTAAAGTGTTCTGCCCATCGATCCAATCTCCTGGATTGAGAATGTATAATATGTCCATCTTTCTCTGAGATTGTTTCGCTAACAGTCGGTTTCCTAAACAAGTCTGAACAATTGTCTGCTACTACCTATTGCCGCTGCCTTTTCCATCTCTCTCGCTTTCGCTACCCACCACTGTCCACGACCATTGCGTAGACTTCTTGTCAGCTTGCGCTTAAGCTGACTCCGCTCCTCATTATGTTCAGAGCCAGGTGGAATGAGTTTCCGAGCATCTATCAGTGCGATAGATGCTGCTGAGATCCAGTGTTTCTCCCTAACCTTACGGGTTACCGTACTAGCAGATATCACTGCTGTTTCCACAGCTTTTCGGATATCATTCCATGCTGCCTCGGGGTGGGCATCACCTATATGGCTGCCTAACTGTTTTCCTAGTTGTTCCTGAAATATACTCTTAGCTTGACTATCATTAAGTAGGCCCTAAGAGGTTTACTTGCAACGTCTTTCCTACGTCCAGTAAGACGCAGACAGATACGCGCTCGTACTAGAGCATGATCTGAATCTAAGCATGTGCTCCAGAATGAGCGACAGTCTTCTATCGAGCCCCTCCATCGGTGGCTGATAGCGATGTGATCTATTTGGGCCCAACGTTGGGACGAATTAGGAGGTCGCTATGTTAAAAGATGTTTTTCCTTATGCTTCAAGTTAGTGTTTGCAAGGAACAGGCGGTTATCTGAGCATAGCTGCAACAGACGGTCGCCATTATCTGTTCTTTGAGCCACGATGCTATAAGATCCACCTAGGTGTCTTTCCCTATCGTTTAGTTTATCTACTTGAGCATTAAAGTCACCGGCCATTATTACTACATCCGAACGCCTAGCTTTAAGGAGAAGGTCGGAGAGCTTTCTGTAAAACTCATCTTTTACATCATCTGAGCTGCGGTCAGTGGGAGAATAGGCAGAGACGACGAAGAGGCAACGACGAGTGTCCCTACCTTTCCGGATTCTTACTGTTCCGTTCAGTCGGACAGCGCACAAACGGCTGTCTACTGGGATCCAGTCTAAGCGAGCTAGTTCTGCCCTAGGACTCAATGCTATGCCTACGTCGGCGAGGCCACGGGAAGCGGAATCAGGGCTTCCAGATACACGAAGTGTGAATCGAGTCAGTTCGTCATTTTGGCATGGTGAGGTCAGATGAATGACGCTACTTGGATCCTGTATGCGCGTTTCGGAGACGCAGCACACATCGATGGCGCGAGATTCTAAAGTCCTAGCTAAGGAAGCCTGTTGTCCTATTTGGCACAGTGTTCGTACGTTAAAAGCTCCTACGTGTAGTTTAGAGCGTGGTTTCAGGAGACCAGGAATAGCGTTCCGCGTACTCGAATCTTTTGCCCTAGCGGTGAGAGAATACTACATAAGAACTTTCTAAAATCGATCGCATAGTTTCACAATATTTGGGCGCCGAGTTAATGTGAGACATTAAAGAGGAAGAATGTATTTGTAAAATCTCAGCGAAATAATTTGAAGTAAATCTAACGTTTCGCCTGGCAATATGGTTCAAGCTTCTTCAATTAAATATAATCAAACATCAAAATTATCGAATACAAATAGGTACATGGCTCTCCGGTTTACTGTACACTAAATAAGTCATCCAATGAACATTAACAGTGTTTAAAGTAATACTAATTATTTCCAAGTTTAAAACAGATTAAATGGCTTAAAACATCTATGTTACTATTTGAGTAGAAATACGTTAGATATGAGGCTTAAATAGAATTGGTAAATAGAGTTTATCTAGAGGAGTTGTAGCGTCTTTTCTATACACCAAGCTAGATCTCATACAGAGCTTTTTGTGATCAACTGTCGATGCCGTAGCTCTGTGTAGTACTGCCGCTCCTTTGGCTGTACTGATATGGATTCTAATTATCCTCTGGTATTCCTCAAATCTGGCTTGGGTTTTGGTGGAATTATGTTGCTTGGGGATGTTTTACGAATGTCATTTCGGCGACTTTCAGTGTAAATTGTTTGCCAACGGTGAGATTAAATATATGACCCTTATATTTTTATTTTTAATATTATTAATTCGTCCATGTAAAATACTTTATGGTAGCCTACTGTACTAAAGTTTTGTTTGGTATGAAGATGAAATACATATAAAAGCACTACATGTGCAGTTACTTTTTGATGTAGATAATCAGGAATACATAGGCTATATATATCCATCCTAACCATATATCCTGTTAGATATACATACTTCACATCGAGTATTATCGATAGGAAAATGTAAACGATCTCTGGTAGCGATGAAAACAACACAAGTTGTTGGTTACTGATTAACTTAACGTAATATTGGTAATAATTAAGGTCCGAAAACAAACTGTGTTGATAATACAAATTATGAATCTTAGGACTCACTTGGAAACATGAACATATGGTAGTTACAACTTGTTCAATTATACGAACTTTTCCAGAAGAGCAAACAGCTGTGTTTGGAATATGACCATAAGCAATTAACTTCTGCAATGAATCGACTGCTGTGCTGACAATTTTAGGCGATTTCATAGTACAGGCCAGTTGGAATGGACGAAGAAGTCTTTCATCACTCAACAATATACCACAGTCTGATTTTAGAGGTGGTAGATGTGTGCTAGATTCGTTTGTTGACGAGATTTTACTGCTCGGCAACACTTGTGGTTGTTCTTTTAGCAAGACAAGAGCCTCCTCACATGCCTTTTTCACAGCTGAATTGTTAGACTTACGGGTTTCGCGTTCGCTAGCGATTTTTTCAATAGACCTGGTTAGAAACATACTGAAGGCCTGTGATGATATTGAAAACTGGGGTTGCGGTATCTGAATTGTGTTGTCAGTTTCAGGAGTAGGAAAACTTGAGACGATACGTGTACTTGGTATATTTTGTTTTAAAGAGTTTAAGTTCTGCAATGGAAGTTCTTGATCATTTGGATTTTTGGATGAAATTGCCAGCATCTCATTTACCTCTCATCCAAAACTGGACATTTAGTTCAAACAGTTAAACATTAGACATGACGTTTCTGAAAAATTAAGATTAAATAAACAATAAGCTCAAATATAGGAACGCTGAAGCAGCATAAACCAGCCGTGGATAATCGCAGAACAGTCTTGACATGAGAATTGATGCAATTTTGCGAGAGCGTTTGTAATGAATGGAGTTAAGTAGATTTTATTTATTGAAAATGTTACAAAAAACTTTAGTACGTTATTCGATAGAGAATGAGGAAACCAACTAGCTAGACACAACGCTTAGCATACCTATTTGCCTCGAAGTGAGCAAATACATTATATATAATTATTTTTCAAATTACCATGTATGACCAAAATAGGCAAGGTAGTGTTGTGTAAAAAAGGCAAGACAGTCGATAGGTGAGTAGATGATTCAAAAAATCTATTTTTGACAAACAGACTTCAAGTTTGAAATTTACTTTGAGCACCTTGGTTTTGGAAGTCATAGGTTCTTGCTAAACTCCACTTGATATACATCAATTCATAGCACACATAGTGAGAGCAAGCCAAATGGATGCCAGTTAAGGAACAATTAAACTAGGAATCCTCTGCTATCTTACGACTGTGCAATACTCCTAACCGAAAGACATGAGGTTTATAGATATTCAACAACACATACCTTTGAAACTGTCTAGGGATGGGGAAACCGTCAAGGGGACAATTATGTAAAGCGTATACAGTACGTCAGTCAACAGTGCCCTAAACATACATTAAATAAGATGGAGGACAGACAAGACATACCGAATAGACGATAAGCTGACTATGTCGTAGGTTGACAAAGGCAGGTAAATCTCCTGAGCTTAAGTTATTCGCTGTGGCAACAACACTGAATATCCCTAACAGGCATACGGCTTCTTAAGGTTGTGACGTATAATTATAAAAAAAACAGTGACAGAAAGAGCGGCAAACTCCAGGTCCAAAAGTGAGATAATGCTCCTGAATATTCTAGTATGTCAAGTCACTGACTCAATGAGTTAATCTCCATAGGACCAACCGGAAGACACTACACTACGGATCATTTAATTGAGTGAGGTTGGAAGTCCTAAAGTATTATATTAAGATACAGGTGAATATACCCCTTCTAAATCTCCCAACTTATGAAAGTCGTGATTTGTAGTGATCGGATTGAATATATAACTGGATAGTTTACAGTTTGGGAAGGACAGGAGGCTCGATGGCCTATGTTAGTCCTGGCAATGGTGGTCTCTCAGTTGATCCAACTTTCTTTTGAAAGAGTCGACGGATGGAGCCTCAACCACGTGCTGAGGTAGTGAATTCCACTCGTTGATGATTCGATGGGAAAGTCGATAGTCAGCTGACAAGTAATTTGTTCTCGGCTTATGAACTTTTTTGGAGTGTCCTCGTAAATTCTCTGTTTTGGAAGACAAGAAAAATGAGGGCATGTTAGGTGCAAATTTATCACTAAGCAATTTGTAGACTGTAATCAAGTCGCCTCTAGTTCTGCGATATGACAACGGGAAAAGGTTCAGCTTGGCCAGTCGAGATTCATACGGAAGCTTCGCTATTCCGGGAACCAGCTTAGTCGCCGTTCTCTGAACCTTTTCCAGAAGCTCACTGTCTTTTTTAAGCAGGGGCTAGCCGCTTGTATGCAGTACTCAAGTTTAGGACGAACGAACACTGTATACAAAGTCAAAAACGTCTTAGCGTCGACATGACTAAAAGCCCTACGTATTGACCATAACGTTCTAAAACCTTTGGCGGCTATTGCACGGCAGTGTGCAGTAGTCTTTAAGTCTTGACTAACGATAACTCCTAAGTCATTATATGTCTGGACGACAGGTAGCTCAGTGTTATTCATCGTGTATGTATCTGTGCCTTGATGACCGATATGCATCACAACACACTTGGAAGTATTTATCGGCAACTGCCATGTTTGAGACCATTCAGATAACTTCTTCAGGTCATTTTGAAGTTCTAAGCTATCACTCTTACATCGTATCGTTCTCCATATCTTGACATCGTCAGCATATAGCAAGACCGATGATGATAGGAGACAAGGAAGGTCATTTACATACAAGAGGAATAGCACTGGCCCCAAAACTGTACCCTGGGGCACTCCACTAAGCACAGTTTCCCAGCTAGATAACTTTGAGTTCACCCTTACTCTTTGTTGACGCCCAACTAAGAAGTCTTTTATCCACATCAATAAATTGCCTCCAATCCCGACTTTTCTTAACTTATATAACAGCCGGTTGTGCGGAACTTTATCAAAAGCTTTACTGAAATCAATGAAGGCGACGTCTACAGGTAGCTTTTGGTCCTTAAGAGCGCACCAGCTTTCACGAGCCACTAATAAGTTAGTGAGACAAGAATAACCTATTCTGAAGCCATGCTGCTTCTCCGAGAGGATCCGGTTTTTATCGAGATACTTAAACAGCTCCTTCCGAATAATCTTTTCTAAGATTTTAACAACCACACTAGTTAGGCTAACGGGGCGGTAGTTCTCAGGTTTGTGTTTCGTACCTGTTTTGAAGACAGGACTTACTATGGCGTTTTTCCAATCTTTCGGTAAGCGACCCTGCGTAACGGATAGGTTAAAGCATGTACTTAAAGGGCTTGCAACGAAGTTAGATAATTCCTTCAGTAGCCTAGGATGTAATTCATCGGGCCCCGTGGATTTACCTATGTCAAGCTTATTTAGCAGACCAAAGACATCGAGTTCTTTAATGGTCACGCTATCCAGTGTATGTATGGGGGGATCTGTATACGCTGACGAGAAGGGCGCTTCTATGGTATACACGTTGCTAAAGTAGTTCGAGAACGCTTGAGCCTTACCAAAGTCGTCCTCCACTAATGATGAAGCAGTACTGTCTCCCCATAGAGCAGGAATATTTCCTTTTCTCCTTGTCCTTTGGTTTATATAGGAATACAAGCGTTTAGGACATTCTATGGATTCCTTAACAAGTTTTTCTTCGTACAATTTTCTAGACTTACGGAGGGTCGAGGCACAAGTGTTCCGAGCCTTTCGATACTGAGATTTTGACTCATCAGTCCCCAGTAACCTAAATCTATCCCACATTTTCCTTTTCTTACGGAGAAGGATACGGACCTCCCTACTGAACCATGGTGGTGAGTTTTTCGGCCCCTTTGGTATAGTCCAAGGGATGTGAGGTGTGGTAACTTTTAAGTATGAATTTCGAAATGCGTCCCAGGCCGTTTCAATGGAGGACTCTGGGTCTATTGTCCAATCTATTAACGATGCTGAGTGCATGATGTCTGGTATGTTTGCTTTCCAGACGTTGGGTCTGGACTGGACTGACGCGTCCTCATGACTGGCAGTTATATGGAAGTCGAAAGTTAAAACTGCGTGGTCACTTTTACCTAAGGGTGGCATATGATGGAGGTTCGCAACATCATCCTCATAGTGAGTCAGTATAAGATCTAATAAGGATGATTCAGTGTCCGGGTCGTACCTAGTCGCTTCTTTCACATGTTGCACTAGGGCACATGTGATAACCGCATCAACTAGTTCCTGCTCGAAGGAATTTTCTGACGATTCAGTTCGCAGATTTTCCCAGTCTACCATAGGTGCATTAAAGTCCCCTAGGATTAGACATCGACCACTTTGGGACCAAGTATTGAGACTGCTTAACAGGATCTCATTTGCCTCACAGCTTGGACTGCGATAGACCAAACCAATCAGCAGCTCTTGTCCCTTGCATTTTAAGCGAAGACTAACTAATTCACACGTCCCACTCTCATGGGATACACTATCGATAATGGTAAATGGGATAGCATTCCTAATGAATAGAGCTACTCCCCCTCCTTTGCGCTTTTGTGTTCTGTCGGCCCTTACTAACGTAAAGCCCTCGAAATCAAGTTCTATACTATCTATAGCCTGTGTCAGCCAGGTTTCTGTTACTGCGATTATATCTGGCTTTGTAGAGTCAATCTGTACACCTAGTTCCGATCGCTTATTAAGTAAGCTTCGTGCATTGGTGTAACAGATCCGAAGCCTGTTTAAGTGCCTTCGTGCTTCACCCAGAGTGGCTTCGGCATCATTCTCTGTCGAAGTCTTACAACCCGAAAATTTACAATTTTCAGGTCCTTTTCGCCAGCGTCTAACCTATGTTGTAGTTCTTTCTCGGCTTCCCGTCTTTTAACACGGTCTGCCAACGGTAGGTCCTTTCGGATAAAGACTCCTGAACCCTTTAATTTGTGTCCATTTTGTAAAATTAGGTCACGTTCGTTCGAAGAGCCGAATACTACTTTAAGCAGTCTGGAATGATTTGGTTTCGAGTCCGTTAGACTCCCTAGTCTGTACACCTTTAGCAAGGTGACCCCGGTCATATTTTGAGGCATGAGTTGATTAAGCAGCTGCCTAATCAGTACAATGTCATGCTCAAAACGAGCTTTAGGTTCAGAGCTCTCGCTCTCCTTGATTCTATGAAAAATAGCTGATCTGTCGCTATGATCAGCTTTCGATTTTTCAACCACTTTTACGGGGGCAGGTTTCCCTTTTATATCCCTACTTTTCTTCCTTACAACCTTTACCCATTCGTCAACGGTGCTGGTAGAAGCAATAACAGTTGCGTCAAACCTAGTGTTGGGTTTTGGGGGGTTGTCGACGACCTGAGAGGTCGGGTTATGTTTACCGCTTGAAACCGATCGAGCCTTGCGATTGCGGCTTCTAGGTGTTTCCTGTTGGATCCCATCTGGAAGACGGGGAACAGAAGACCCTACTTTTCTTGAGCTTTTGTTTAAGGCAGGCCCCTTTGGAGACTGCTTTTCCTTCTTTGACGGGCGTGAGTCATCTATCACCGGACTAACCTTAGTTTCCTTCACGTTGATTTGCGTGTCGACAGATCGAGTGCTGTTTGACGCGTTCCGACTATGCTTGCTAAAACACTTCTTTGCAGCATCAACCAGTGAGATGGCCTCGGTTAACAAGCTGTTTGCATCCGAGCAGCACTGTTGACAAAGCCACACACAACCCTTCTTACTGAACCGTTTGAAAGCAGCAGGCGTTAAGTTCGTGCAAACTTCGTGGTACCAGCCTTTGCACTCGTCGCACTGCATGCCGCTTTCAACAGGATAACGACAACCCGGACGTTGGCAACTGCTTTTTTTACACTGTCCGGTCATTTAGGAGGGGTATTTTTCAAGATGAGATGACACTCAGAAACAAAAAAATTATCAATGACCAAAAAGTGAAGAGCTGTAGATTGCTAGGACCAAAAGTACTAACAGATACAGTTGAAAAAGAGGTACTCAAGAGTACCAACGACAAAAAGAACAGTAAAAACGGTACTTTAGTCGAATACTTTAAATGAAATAAATTCAATTAAAGTGAGAACAGTAGTCTTGATACGTAATAAACGATCAAAACAAACAAATTTACTCAGCGAGGAAAAATACCACTGTCCTTTTTAAATAGCTTTCTTACTAAAATGTAGTCCAGCTAGTAATACCATTGAAACGGCACGTCCCGCAACAACGGAGCATATCTATTTAAGACGAGGCTATCGAGGTTGTTATCTTGGCATATTATTTAACTTGTTGAAACCAAGAGGTCTTAAAACTGTGTATAGTTGATGAGTTTTTGATGTTTATAACAGATCCAGAAATAAACTCCAAAATAACTACTATATTAATCCACGCTTACTTTCATTTTATTGAGTTATTTTAGGACGAACAAAAAAACACTCACCACCTACAGACCAACATCAACGTCAAGAAACGTTTACAAACCCCGCTATTTACACTCAATACCCAATGAAAAACTAATTTATCAGCCTCAAATGATAGTAGATGTACATTGGTTGTTAAGTGATGATCTATAAAGTGGGCATTGTTTGAGGGAATCATTTCAAACATGCATATTTCAGATATATTCTGAAAACCGACAGCAATTACTACGGAACGCTACAGGTCGGCATGAAATAAGTGTATACATAGACCTCAGCAAAGCATTTGGTAAGGCGCCAAGAAACAGATTACTATTGAAGCTGGGAAATCTAGGCATTGTCGAACCCCTTCTAAAATGGCTTCGGGATTTCCTGGTAGGTCGTAGACAGAACGTAAAAGTGTATTAGAAGTAGTAGCCGTAAATAGATCCCCAAAATAAATAGCTCTGTAAGTTTTCGACATTTGATGCTGGCCCCATTAGTTTTGATGGACTCACCTAGCTGAAATGCTCGGTCATGCATCCGCATCAGATCACGAGTGGGAAAGCCGTGATCAACATCCCCTGCAATCGCTAGCCAGATTAAATCAGTCGGTCCTCGGTAAATTGATAGCTTATCAGATATATCTTCGAACCTCATTGCTTCTGTATTTTGATCTCACCTGGTCGGTACGACTCTTAGTAGAAGGTGTCACTGGTTAAAGCGTTGACAAACTCCGAATACCCGTGGCATCGTCAAAATGCTCCACCTGGAGTTCAGTACTCAGGGGAGTACTACAGGATTCTGTCCTAAGTCCTTTACCTTTTATACTGTACGTAAATGAATTCTGAAATATAATTGAGTCCCCAATGCTGCTATACGACGATGTAAATCCTTGCGAGAAATAACAGGAGACTCAGGTGCATGCGCACCCGGGCAGACTTAGCTAGCCCAAGGAGTGTCCTATGCCTATCAACGTGGCAAAGTGTGCCTACATGCACTTTGGAGATGCAAAAGTAAATAGGTACATCAGGGGAAAGTGCCTGTGTTCATGGTTTGGTCTCACAAAGATCTTGGTTCGACGGTGAGCCATGATCATAAGATCATGGCCCATTACGGGAGGTCGCAGTTAGGGGTTTAGAACACTATGGGCTTTAAAACGGACACTCATCAAGTTGGATACTGCCGTGTTCACTGCAGTATATATAACCCTTGTGAGAACTAAGCTTGAAAACTGAGTTCAGGATGCAAACTCCTGTTTAAAAAATGGCTCCGATATCCTGAAAAAAGCATAGAAGGCAGCTACCCGTGCGATTCCAGAACTCCGGGATTTGCCATACAAAGAGCGGCTTGAAAAGCTAGACTTCTTTACTCTGTCTTATCTCAGATTAAGAGGTGATATTTCGATGTATAGAATACTGGGAAATGATTTTAGACCTAGTATATCTGTAGTGGTATTGGTCCTAATTATACAATTTTCAAAGCTGAACATGAGATAACAGGGAAAATAGATATTCAAGATTTAACACGAAGAGAGGGGCAACAATGGTGAACGCGGGAATATTCATTCGATCGGATGGCATTGCTTGGCCTTGCAGACATGGTCATTCTCTATAACTTGCCTGTGCACAGAATAAATATATTATTCTATCTTTTTATCTCAATGTATTCTTCAAAACTGCCGAACGTCATATCGCGGATTGTTACGATACGACGAGTCAGAGTAGATAATGATGTGACTTCCATGTAAGATCTTATAGATTAAGTTTTCACATCAAGACGAATGT